AATTTTCCTTTAAGACCCTTTGTATTTTTACTTTACTAACTCGATGCAAATATTTCCTTTGCCTGCAGCTTCCTCTGACTTTGCTTTGAATGCAAACTAGAGATGTTGAAACCCCCAGTGATCATCACGCAAGTCACAGCAGCAAGACCTGACTCACTCTCACAAAACGCTTGCTGTCGGCAAGCTTCAACACGCTCAGTGTGTTACCCCCATTTTCCAGCCGGGGAAAGGCTTTGTGGAGAGTGGGTGGAAGAGCTGAGCAATGAGTGCGGTCGCTGCGCCCCCGGCACCTGCGTGTTCACGGCCACATCCTCCCCATCCTGCTCCTTCTCCCTTAGACACTCGTGTACACTCCAACCTTTTTTTTTTTTTTATGAACTGAACCATATATATAATTGGCCTTCCCATCCAACATTTCCCAAGGAACACTGTCAGGACAATCTGGCCTTACCTAGCATGCAAGAAGTAATTACAATATTAGACAATAATGAAATAATGCATTGTTACTAATCATTTCACTCTGCTAACAACACAAGCAACATGTAAAGGTTAAAAATGCCAACCAGCGTCTCATAAATCACTATGGATATTTACTGCTGTGGACCAAATACTCGGTGCTTGCTAGCTCCTGCCTTTGAACCAGGGCAAAATTCAGGTACCACACTGCAGTATACAAATCTCCACGATTCTCCAAAGTGACAAAGGCTGTGGCTATAAATTACTGTCTGCTTCAACACACAAACATATCAACTATATTTAGGGAATGTTTTTTCCCTATTTATGTGAAAAACTGAAACTTAGCCTTTGAGGTAAAGAAACCCCTGTCCTTTGGATGGTTATATTAGATTTTTACCATGCCTTCAAGTTTCTCTAACTTTCTTTGCCAATATTTCTTTTCAGAGAGAGTAAGAAAATATCACATACAAGAATGAACCCTCTATCTGTAAAAAAGATGACAGTATGGAACATTTTGATGGAACTTCAAAATCTAGTGTTAACCTGTGGTGTGAGCACCAGTTACTGGTTGGAAAACACCTTCCTACTTAGTTTTATCCAAAAGGAATCCAGATTGTGGATGCTGAGACCGTGCCATCATGCAAACCAAAATGCAAATGGTGTCGTCAAGAGATGTGCTTTAAAAGCACAGTCCTCATCCAAACTAGACACGTTCTTATTATAAACCATGGCTAGAATTCATTTTTTATAGAGACAGCTAGAAAAATAATCCAATATCAAATGAATCATGTAATTTTTTTAATATACAAATAGTTAAAATGCAAAATGTAGCAAAAGCTTTTCAGTCAGGCCATGGGAATATTAGCATGAGAGTGCTACTAAAAGTTAGTGCAAATCAATAAATCTTCAGACACTTCAGATATTTAGCGAAGTTCTCCCTCTGGGCATATCCTGAGTCCCTGCAGTCGGTGAGATTTCTGACATTGACTTGGGGGCATCAGAATCAGGCCCTTTGTGTGCAATTTCTTTTTTAATGAAATGCCATTAATACGGAGTTTGTTTCAGATTTACATCCTGGTAAAATATAGTATGTGCCATCTGGAGTTCATTAATGCTGTCCTTTACCTACAGTATGTGCCAGGGGACACATCTATTATGCAACTAAGGGTCACGCAAGACAAAACAGAGCAGTCAGCAAAAAGATGAGAAGTCTTTTTGGTATTAACAGCCCAAGTTGAATCAATTACATCTACACTGATTTTCAAAGGGTTGGGATAGAGGAGTCAGGACCGGTGGCCAGCCTGAACAGCATCTCACACCCCAGCAGTCTTGCACAGCTAACAGTTTGCTCTGCAATCAATACCAACCTACTTCCAGTGGATAAATTCTGGCTATGAACTATGACAAGATCAGCCTCGTGCAATGTCCAACGTCATTTGGGCAGCAGCTTTGCAGACCAGCTGCAGGTTTCAGTCAGTCCTGGGACACCTCATCCCTGTTGGTCTGGGAAAGCTCAGGGGGCATCGCCCTCCTCCGAAACCCAGCCCCGCGGCCAGCCTCACCGAGCAGGCAGGCCTCCCAGCTCTGTCCCGAAACGGTACCTCAGCCTGGGAGAAAAGGAGAACCCAGAACCATTAGTTAAAAGGAGAGAAAAAACACATTCTGCATCTTAAACTGACTTGCCATCCGAGGACCATGAACAATAAGGCCCCTGTTTGCACATGACCTTGTCAAGGTCAAACGACCCACCGTGAGAGGGGTGGAATAGCTCAAAACCAGCAGCACAGCAGGGTATCTATTGGGCTTACAGCGCAACACTCCGCACCCTGCTGCTTGGCTGTGTGTCCGAGGAAACAAATTTTGTCCTCCAGGCATTTTCTCAAGCCTTTCTGAACTACTTCTCCTCAGACACTACCTCGGCTTTTACGGAGTCCAAAGGGGAGGGTCATGCTGGAGGATATAGGATGCTACACAGATGAAATTTATTGAACCTACATCTTGATTCTGCACCATCAGTGAATAACGAATCTCTAATCATGTGTTCCTGGAAACAATGATTTGTGGATTTGCAGAGACCTGAAGAGTTTTTCTTTAAATCTACAAGGACGTTATTCTCCCTTAGAATAATTTCTACAGGACTATATTAAATTCATGAGATCTTTGGGGGTTTTAGTTCTATTTGACTACAGAGCATTTGGCCATCAGTGGCCAAGGAAAATCAGGAAATTACCTTTCTAGGTTAGCTAAATGGTAGAAATTTCTTAGTGTTTTGCCACCAATAATAGCCAACATTTGGGGCTCTAGGGACAAGTAAGTTCCCCTTTTCCTTTGCATGCAGACAAATGCTGCTAGCCAGTTGTGGTCAAAATAAAGATAGGATTACAGGAATGATTTAATTCGGAAATCTCAAGTATTGGATAATATTTGGCTGCTTTTACCATGACATCTGTCAGTAGAAATGCTGCTGTCTTAAAATTACTCAGTCCTGTTAGAATCTCACAACCAGGGTTGTTGGATGGAATAGCTATGTGTTCAAATCCTACATCCCAGTCAATTGGTTTGTGTAGAACTGTTAGGATGTTCTTTTTTTTTTTAAATTTTTCCATTTAACCTGAACGTCTACTGTTGATTATACAAGAACTGTACCACAGAAGGTGATAAACTTAGAAAACAGATGTTTTAAAGGAAAGTGTTAAAAAATAACATTACTTAAAGGTCTTCACTTGTTAACATACATTTGCTAACACTATTTCAAATTTGAGCAATCCTGAATAAGAGGTAATATTTTAGCGATGTATTTGAAAAAAAAAAAAAAAAAAAAAAAAAGAAGCAAAGTTTTATTCTTCATATAAATTGACAGTTCACTCTGAAACTTCACCAAGTAGGAGGTGTTGACAACTGTCACTTTCAGAGAATATAATAAGGGAAAGATTTATAGGCACACAGTTCCACAAATATATTCAAGACTAGTATTTTTCAAGACAACCAATGGGCCTTAAGCACATTCTTAAGTCATCTTAAAATGGAGTGCTATTTTTTCCATCAGGGCCCTAGTGACAAATGCAACTTCCTCTAGTCAAGGCGGACTTGTATCCCATACCAGTGTCATTCGCCTTTTAATTCACCACTGCAAAAGCTAAGCTTTTACCAGCCTGGTATTTCCAGGTGAAGAATAAGTAGTCACTAGTCAGAAAGCTGACAAGAGCCAGTACAAAATAGACAGAAAGTCCACTGCAAAAGTAAAGTATTAAGACAGCCCTTACACCAAACGTTCCACTTCTGAGCATACTTTAAGCACCTACCATGCACCTAAACACATGGAGAAGAGCAAATGTGTAGAAGAGGTGGTAGGTTAGGAATGCTGTATGTGAGCTGAGAGCTGCGAGCCTAGACAGCAGTGAATGTCTCCTGCCAAGAAATTACTCTTTTATATTATACGCATTTCTCTGGAAGTATCATGATGTGAGAAATAACAGACAAAAGTCAATCTGACTCCACTGTATTTGTTTTCTAATTTCTGTCTGCATTTTAAACAGTGTCATTAGAGGAGCAGCCACATTAACAGAAAAGAAGAGAAATCTTGATGAGATAAATGACATTTAAAGCCGCCAAGGGAACAAGCAGCTGGGAAAAAAAATGAACTTTCTTTTTATAATCTAATGGGTTAAACAGCATAGAATAAGAAGCAGTTCCCAAGATACACAGTACATGCATTGGAGTTCAGAAAATAGGAAATGTCCAAATCAGTAAGCACAGAAACCAGATTACTTTGTTACAGTAATTCATCATAACTTGTATTACCCTGAAACACCGACATTTACAGCTGCAGAGGAGATTTATCAACGATTACAGGCCCTGACATTTCAACTCAATCACGTACGACAGAGACTCTATGAAGATCCTGACAAATAAATGGAGCAGGAAGGTGCAGCCCGCTTAACCAATGAAAGGCAGAGACATTATCTTCCATGGCCTTGCCGGCATCCTAAGGCAAAGCTGGTGCAAATCAGAGCTCTGCTTATTAACCACACCAAGGAGAAACTTGGTATTAAGGGGGGGGGGGGGGGGAATCTCAAACATAGAATGCAAAACAGGACATTTGAAAACGGATTATACAAAGCCTTTAGGTAGTAGATGATGAATGTGTAACATATAGAGATATATATAGCACACATAATGTACATATTTATATATGCATAAACACATATAGGAACTAACCTCACAGGCATGCTCCATCATGATGCACACTGCTTGTCTGCTTTACCTGAGGATAGTACCATTCCTTGTATGCAGTGCACTTCATTTTAAAACCTGTAGGCTGTTCCTAGCAGACAGATTTAAAAGGATTTTTACGATTCGCTCTGCAAAAGGCTAAAAAAAAATAATCCATCCCTGCTGCATAAGATTATATTTTCCATCTCTATCCTCTGAATAGTGGAATCGGATGAGAAATGATTCATCAATCAGTCCCAGGAAGCATTTAGAGGACAGAGAAGAAAAAAAAAAAAATAAAAAAAATCAACCATACAGTAAAATCTGCTCACCATGTACACACCCCCAAAGTGAAGAATCAGACCAGCCTAACTGAGGAGAAGCTAGAGATGAATTTCACGAGACGGCTGCAGTTGCTGGGTGATGCACTGTAAACCCTGCTCCCTCCGGGGAGAATGAGCTCATTGCGAAGCTCCAGCAGCCGCCCCTCAGCCATTGCAGTGTCACTGCAGCTTGCAGCTGAGTGCAGGCACGTCATCACACCAGCTCCCGGAAAACCCAGAGCCCTCCCTTTCAGAAATCCAGTGTCAAGCGTGCTGGTGTAAAACCAGCTCACCTCCAACGCAGACTGAGCTCCCCTCCTACCTGGATGCTGCGAGGAGGACTTGCGTTTTCAGCTGAATTATTAAGCCAAAGACCTGCATCCAGCACCGACGGAATCTGAACTGACCTGCCCCTGAAGCAGGGGCTAAATTACTGAAACGGGCAGAGAGATGCGAAGGATGTTCGGATTTCAAATAGCAGCCTTTGCACTTGCTCCTAGCAAAGGAGATGGAACCAAGTTCTATGGAAATCCTGACACGTGTAAGTGAAGGGCCAGGCGCTGGAGCTTATCTCTTCTAGGAATGCCATTGCTGGATAACCCCACGCTCTGAAATTACGTGGAAATGGTAATAGGGTGGGAAAAAGCCGGGTGTCTTTACAAACTCCTGTAAGGTATGATGTGAGAAGTAAAGCACTGCAGATATGGAAAGCACGTCTTTAACCCCTAGCTTGCTGTGTCTCACTACTGTTCATAACTGAAAAATTACTCATTTTCAATATTCATACCACACTGAAAATTCTCCTTTACATCAGAACTGAATAAGAAATACAGATAAAATCAATGTATTTGATTACAGGATACTTATAACAGCCCCACACTGAAAATAAGTAAAGAGGATATGGGACCTATTTATTTGTTTTTTGTATCTTCCTGACAGTGAAGACTGGGAACCATTCCCAGTGAATGTCAGTGAATTGCTGACAGGCATGACAGAGTGATCAAAACACAGGACTGGAAAGCAGAAACCTATCCTGAAGCGTATTCTCAGTTTCTAGAAAGGAGGGCATGGGGTTTTTTTCCCCTTAAACAATAGCTAAATATCTGGAACGTTCCATTCAAAAACCCAGTTTTCCCCAAGTCCAAGGGCTCTGACTGTGCAGCGCTGGAGTGCAAAGCCAACAAATGTGTGCGGCTCCTAACCAGATTCATAGAAACTCAGTTTTGTGGTTAACCGCCGCTGTACTTCTCATGCCCTCTCCCCCAGCTCTGCAGTTCAATTGTCCTTTGACAAGGATACATAAAGTGGCACTTTGAGAAAACCATTAGAACAAAACTTCTATTTACTTCATAGAAACACCTAGAAGACAAAACTATGACAAAATTTCTAGTGAGAGGAAGCTGCAAGAACAGAATCTCTTCAGTTTTTGCTATTATAGACCCCGAATTTTCCTTTTTTTTTCTGTCCATCCCTACTGTGCCGCATGGTGGGAAACAGTAGTATTACTCAGACATGGACTCCTCGCTTACAGGGGTGGTTTCTCCTAAGCCCCAGTCCTGGCTGCTTATCTGAACCCTTCCACCTCTCCAGCATGCTGCTGAAGTCAGGAAGCCTGTGGGAACGCAGCGCCCGTCGGCAAGAGACACTGCAGGGACAGTGCCTCAGTCTGCAAACACAGAGCTGCTGCGGGTGGAAGTATTAGCATGGTGATGATTTAACAACACATCAAAATTTATTAATAACTAATAGTACTTCATCCTTAACCAGTTTAAATGCATACAAAATAATTCTGGAAAATGTTGTAATTAAAATAGCGACTTATCTACAGATTCTAAGATGAGAAGATTCACTCTGACTTACTATACGGTATCTTAAATCAATACATATATGTATATATCTGTGTGCGCATACACAAAGACAAAAACATGGAAACACACAGACACACACGACAAAGTTTTTGGATCCAATAAAATAAATGACATACCCACACACCAATAGGCAGAGAAGGAGGCAGAGAAGCTAGCTCAAAGTAAAAGCTCCCTCCTCGAGTTTAGAGCAAATCCTCCCCGTGCCTTGGCATTCCTCAACGGGCGATAATTGAGACCCGGGTGGGTTGACTTGGCCCTGGCCCTTCGTCAGCTCTGGCAGCAGCCGACACCTTCAGGTTTTTGCTAGCTGAGAGGTGTCCCAGCTCAGGGGGGGCTCAAAGGGTCTCACTTGGAGTGGCAATTTATAGGGTCCAAGATAACGGACTTTTGTCATTTGTTTTTGCTGGGGCCCAGCTTGAACAATGAACCACTCTGGCATCTTCCAGCAGTTGCACAAGAATTTGATGCAGGTGCAACTGTTCTTGTTCTCCTCTGATCCCAGCACGGGTACAGGTGTGTCGGCCCAGACCGTTGGGAGCTGCTGGACTGTGATCACCCCTTCCGAGGGGGGGGCAGGAGCCAGGCTCCTTAACGCTCTGATTCACTGCCATTAGCAGCCCTTATCTCTCCAGGTGGACATACCTCCCCGGGGGGAGAGGGGTGGAATCACACTTAGCACCAAGCTGCCCAGGGGGGCAGGATTGCACCACCACAGCTGCAACTCCAGAAGTCTCTGTCTTCAGCTTTGACAAAAACTCAGCACTTTTCCTTGCTCCTTTATCACACAAATACTTCTTAAAATTAGGCCGTCTCACCCCAGCTCAGCCCGCTCCAGGACGAGCAGACCACCAGCTCACACACATCCCAGCCGGTTCCTCGGTTCAACCCAGGAACCATCTCCCTCCAGATGCAAGGATTGGCTGTGGCTCTGACGAGAGCTGTGCAAACAATAGCTTTTGAACTGTTGGATAAATAAAACCATTTTCTATTTTTAGAGTTGAATTGCAACATTTTGTGGGAGTTTGTAAGTAAAACATTGCAAGCAGTGTTGTAAGGGATATAAAGCAAGAGGCCATCCTTAGTTTACATCACTCAGAGAATCGGGGTTTGTTTTTCAGCTGGCAAGTGCTAGGGAAAAAGCATTCTTCTGGCAATTTCCATTTACTGAGCTGTATCCACTGCAGGCTTGCCCAAAGCACTCCACTGTGCAGTGCTTTATCACGCAGAACAAAAATGTTAATGAACTTTAAAAACCTGAAGTTACCAAGTAAATAAGGGCTGAAAAAATTGTTATGCTCCACTTTTGTCATTCACAGTAGAAACGGTCAGAATTTCTTCCATGTGAGGCACAAGCACACCTATAGAAGTCTGGGTTTTGTTTTAAACATTCTCAATTCTGTCTTTTTCAGCTATCTTAGCACACAGTTTACATCTTATCTGTAATACAGATCAGCACGTCAGCCAGGTGACTTTACATGTAGCACTCCGCAAAGCTATCTACAGCAACTGGGCACAAGTCTTTTCCTCAGCCTCTTCCTCAGTAATTGCTAGAGATAAATGTGAAAGACACTGTACACGATGCACAGCAGAGCCCTGGGATTGCAGTAGCTATGCCAGAGGCAGCTTTTTTTTTTTTTTTTTCTTCACTCTCCAAATGGAGCAAAATAAAACCTTCTTAGTCAAGAAAATACTGCAATGAGATCTTGAGGTTAAGAGTGTTAAGCAATGCTTTGATAACCAGGGGCCCTGCTCCAATGGCAGTGTGCAGGTGGCAGGAGCAGTAGATGATTCCCTCCAGATCCTGCTTTGCACCTCATCCTCTGGAGCAGAGTAACGACCCCTCGGGGCTACAGCCAGGTACAGAAAAGGAGTCCTCAGAGAGCCCTTATCTTCTTGTCTCAAGTAAGCTTCTGTCCGCATTTCTGACCTCAAACCTGGTCCTATGAGCATCTTTTAGAAGTAAGAGAAGGATATTTCTGAGTCCTAATGGTAGAGTATCCATCTGAATGTCTAAAATACACAAAGTCCTACCTACAGTCACTGAGTCCTGTTTCCCACACCTGTCCAGGCTGCAAAGCCAACTAATGATTCTTAAGGAATGAATGACATTAACGACCAGATTTTTGTTACTGGGCCATCAGAAATTTCTGTAAGAAAGACATAACACATAGAAAAGAGACAAACACATGCAAGAAACCTCGATGCACACTCATAAATTGAACTTGAAGAAATCAAATCTCACAAAAAAGTAACAAGAATGGCCCAAATTAAAGACTTGGGCTCTTTTGCACCCAAGTCCTGGTTTTACTTCACCTGTAAGAGGATTTCATTTCTTCTGTCCTCTACCCCTGTAGTGCAAATGCCTTTTAAAAGCTAACATTAAAAATTAGACAAAAGGAAACGTTGGTGTTCATTTAGTTTTTCACGGAGCCTGATGGATTGAGGAGACATTATTCCACTCCTCTCTGCTCCCTTCATTACCTAGAAGATGTATGTCCCGTTCACAGTCGCCCTGCCTGATCCCAGGAGGCCAGCCGGCTCGAGGGCTGCCAGAAGAAATGCACGGAGCTGGGGTTCTCCCCCGCAGCTTCCCGGAGCGGTGAGATCCACGGCTGCCGTGTCGCTGGGGCCTCGGGGGTGGCGGGGAGCAGAGCTGAGGCGCGGAGGCAGGCTCCGGCTCGGCTCAGGCCATCCCAGAGGCAGCTCGGGGGGCTCTGAGCCCGTGCTGCCAGCGGGCTCGGGCTCCCCAACAGCACCAAATGACTTGCACCCAACAGTGTAATCAATCTTATCCACTTCTGAGCTAAGATAAGCCAACTTAAGGTTGCCTACATAAAACTCTCCCCCATTTAAATCACTGAGAAATACATTTGCTTAAACTGGTATAATTAGCACGTGTAAACTTAACCCCTAATTTCTTTCCTCCTTTAGACTGTATATTAAGTCAGATCATTAAATTCACTATGTCAAGATTGTTTTGCTTTTTAAATTTCAGATATAAAGAAGTCAAAGCAATGGACTATGTACACCTCCTCATGTCAACAGCCTGGTGAGTATCAGAACGGTTTGGTAGTTAATGATGAACACCATTCCAAGAAATGCACCACGTAAAAATATACATCCTGGTTTGATTTCCAGAGGCAGCCGGGAAGGTTAATAACTAAGCCATTGTTGGCAGCGAGGAAAACAGTTGGAAATAGGTAGTTCTCAGGTTTCAGCAGCTTTCGAGAACCTGTGTTTTGCACAGGTGAGCCAGACAGCAGTGGCATGGGGCTGGAGAGGGCTGGGGGGCACATAAAAAGCAGCGAGCTTCATAGGGCTGGGGGGCACATAAAAAGCAGCGAGCTTCACCTCCTACATCGTGCAGTGCCCTCACCGTCGGAAGTGATGGAGGCACGTTCTCCCAAACCAGCCCTGAGACTGCCCCCTGGTTGCACCTGTCTTACACGGTGTCCATTATAAATTTGGTACAGATGACTTTGATTTGTATCGATAAGAAACCAAAGAAACTTCAGTCAGTGTTATCCATTTCTAAACTAATTTTATAGTCAGTTTGGGATTACAAACAGGTTTTATGTAATGCCTAAAATAATTGTTCCTCGCAACTATCGCAATCTGCCACATCAGTACAAAAGCACGTGCTTAAAACTGAGCACAAAGTTGAAGTTGTCTGACCAGCAAGTGTGACTTCAAACTGATCTAAAATATTGCCTCTTTAGTCCCTGGAGGGGCTGGGTCACTGTCTCTGATTTAAAAGGAACTAATCAATACGATTGTTTTGTTGACCTGCAAGTAAAGAAAATCAAAGCAAGTTCCAACCCGAAAGAGGATTGCAGATGAATAAATTGATAAGCTTTTAAAAATTTAATCCAATACAATTTATAATTTTCCATGATCACAGCAGAGTGCTTTTCTGGCAATAACCAAAAATCTTTTGCCATAAAGATTTATATGAAAATAAATGCATTAATTTAAATAAATGCATACTAATGAAAGAACCCAGAGGTTCATGCCAGCTCCTGAGCACGAATATTACATTTGAGGCACTAATCCATCTTTATGATAACTACCCCTGTAATTATACCTGCTACACCTGTAATTACACCCACGGCAGTACATTTTTTCCCATTAACTTTGGATGACCAAAGACAGAGCAGACTCTGACCCATGCTTTGCAATATTAATTATTTTTCAAAGTCAGAGAAGTGTTGACAGAAAAAACTCCTGAAATTTTAACACTTCAGTCTCTACTACTCAAACGATACCTTTCCCAGTAATTTATGACACTTTTTCTCTTAATGCAATACATTTTTTTTTTTTTTTTAATTCAAACCCCTGTCTGTGACGTTTAAGGTAACAAAAACTGTGAAATCATAAATGCGCATTCAGGGGTTAAACACAGCGCCCTTTCCCTGGTGTTTCCGAGTTGGGAAATAAGTTTGCAACACTGTAACAGTGCTGTTCCTTTGTTTCAAAATAATGTCAATTCCCCTTCCTATAAGGTGGAGAAAGTGATTTTGAAACCAACCCTCACCCCTGTGCACTCCCAAGCACCCAGCCGTGCCCCCCAGTCTGCCCAGTCAGCGGGCGGGCGCGCGTCCCAGTGCTCTGGCCAGGAGCCCTCGCAGCTACGCTGAGGAGTACTGTCAAGTATTGGTAGAAATATTAAGCATTGTTTTATTATGAATGAACAAAGTTCCTACTTTAGAAGAGTTAGCCCACAAGCTGCACATTCTCCTTCCCGAACACTGCTGGAAATCCCTTAGCGAATCTCTGTGCACTGACGGTGGCAGGCAGAGCACCGCTCCCAGGTCCCTCTTACACCTCTCCCCTTTGCTTCACCCAGCACGCTGGGGCAGCTGGAGAACCTAGTGACCTGCAGGCAATTTCAATACACTGGACACCAGCTGGATATTTCCACCACACCGGAAAAACAGCAGCCTTGAAACTTGTCTTTCTTACCTCTCCAAGCAGTTGCCCAATCCTAACGTGCATCCCGCAGAGAGGGAAAGGTGGGCTCAGCTCCTCTCCTCTTCCCAGGAGAACAGCAGGGGAAGGACTTCAGCAGAAACCCCTAAGAGTGCTGTGTTTGCCCAGATTCCTCCTAGAGAAGGGCCCGCCGCTGCCGAAAATCAGGAACAGAGGAAGCCAGTTCGGAGACAATGTGATATTTGTGCTGCCAAAACCAGCAACAGCCCCTTGCAAATACACAGGATACACTCGGGGTTTGCGCAGCACCAGAAGACAAAATACCTGTCAGGGGGTTTTGTGCTCGTAGCAGACCCTGTCAGGGAGTTTTGTGCTCGTAGCAGACCCTGTCAGGGAGTTTTGTGCTCGTAGCAGACCCTGTCAGGGAGTTTTGTGCTCGTAGCAGACCCTGTCAGGGCACACTTCTGCCTGTGATGAGCCTGGTGGAGTTCCTGCTGGTTCCCAGAGCGGAGGAAAGCACTCTGCAGGCCTGCTGGCTGGGGGATAGCCAGGGGCTGTAAGTTTCCTCCACGCAGATTTCTGGTTTTGGTGGGAGAAGATGGATAAGGTGGTTGTGCGGGCAGGCTCGCAGCTGCTTTGGGGACCCCCTCCTCTCTCCAGAGCCGGGCAGCCCATATTCGTGTCGATACAGCCTCGAGCTTCCTGCTCCTTAAAACACTGCAAGCGTTGCGCGCCCACGGAGAAAACTTAGCGCAGTCCTGGAGCGACGAATTTGCTCTTTCCTGCGCCGAGGGCTGCCTGGGTTTGCCCCTGAGCCGAGGGCGGGTCGCTGGGCAGCAGAGAGCAGCAGCGAGCTGCAGGACCAGCACCGACCCCCAGGCAGCCTCCAGCTTGCAGAGCCCTGCCAGAGCGCGTCTGTCGGGCCTAGGGCGCGAGGACATAAAAAAAATAAGCGCATAAACACAAGGAACTTGCTTCTTGAACGGTTATTCGATTAAAAAAAAACTGTGTTTTGTTCTGCCAAGGGCGGTGTTTCCCTAACTTCCTTACCAGAACAAAACTGAGCCACCTGGGCTGTGCAGAGGAGGAATTCCAGCGGTAAAGCTTTCTGTTCCTTCCCCGGGGGCCTGAGGTGGGGAGAAAAGGTGGGGTAAGGATGGGCCAAAAGCTGGAGAACTGAGCCTGAAAACATCCTCATGGGTCAAACCCCTACTCCGCTTTGCCCAATAAACCCTTGTGCTGTACCGAGTATAACGCCCACATTGATGAAAGCCTGCCCGTGTCTTTCTGGGAAGGCTGTAGGTTAATATTCCTTGCTGCTCTACTCACAGAAAATTTCCCAGAAGATGTATTTTACTCAGGCTTTGTGATTGTCTACTGCAGAAAGGCACAAAGGAAAACAATTTAAGCCTAGAGGAAACGCCTGCATCCCCTAATTAAGACGTTACTTATACTCTGGCTAAATAAAAAATATGATTTTGTGTATGTCTTTGTAAATTCCCAGCAGTAAACCTGTATATGCTTTCAAAAGGCAACACTAGTGGTTTCCTATTCGGAGAGGCCCGCTGCCTGATTAGATGCCATTACAGCTCTAGTCAGCGTTAAAAAAAGAGAAGGAATTAATTATTATCTACTTCAAGGCCCTGCGCCCTCCGCTCGGGAGCCGCCAGAGCGGTGGGGAGGCCAGGCGCCTGTGCTCTTGCACTCAGGCACACTTCCCTCCGAAACCCGAGCGGAGCTTCGTGTTTGCTCCGCGAAACGTGGGGCGAGAGGCACCGCGCTGAGCTCCCGCGGGCGGGCGGGCGGCGAGCTGCGGGACCGGGAAGAGCGCTCCGCGGGGAGTTACCCCGTCCCGCGCCCCGGGAGCTCAGCGCCCGCCGCCGCCGCCATCATGGCGGCCTGAGGGGCCGGGAGGGAGGAAGGGAGGGAGCGCGCGGCCCGGCCCGGTCCACCCCGCCCTGCCGCGGCGGCCAATGCGAGCGGGGGGCGGCCGCTGACGTCACGGCGGCTCGGCCGGCCGGTCAGTGCGTCTCCCGCCGCTGCCGCAGCAGCTGGGCGCCGCCGGCCGTGTCGTTCAGCCGTGCCATGTCGCGACTCGGCTCGCAGGAGGAGAACCTGCAGGGTAAGGGCTCGGCGGCCGCGGTGTCTTCCCTCCTTCCTTTCCCTCCCTCCTTGTGAGCGGTAGGGCCGCGTCGCCGACCCCCGAGCTCAGCCCGCCGCTATGGCGGGTCTCCCTCCCCTCAGCCGCCGCTATGGCTGGTCTCCCTCCCCCCCCTCCCCTCAGCCGCCGCTATGGCTGGTCTCCCTCCCCCCCTCCCCTCAGCCCGCCGCTATGGCTGGTCTCCCTCCCACCCTCCCCTCAGCCGCCGCTATGGCGGGTCTCCCTCCCTCCCTCCCTCCCTCCCTCCCTCCCTCCCTCCCTCCCTCCCTCCCCTCAGCCGCCGCTATGGCTGGTCTCCCTCCCTCCCTCCCCTCAGCCGCCGCTATGGCGGGTCTCCCTCCCTCCCCTCAGCCCGCCGCTATGGCTGGTCTCCCTCCCACCCTCCCCTCAGCCGCCGCTATGGCGGGTCTCCCTCCCACCCCTCCCTCCCTCCCTCCCTCCCTCCCTCCCTCCCTCCCTCCCTCCCCTCAGCCGCCGCTATGGCTGGTCTCCCTCCCTCCCTCCCCTCAGCCGCCGCTATGGCTGGTCTCCCTCCCACCCTCCCCTCAGCCCGCCGCTATGGCGGGTCTCCCTCCCTCCCTCCCTCCCTCCCTCCCCTCAGCCGCCGCTATGGCGGGTCTCCCTCCCTCCCTCCCTCCCCTCAGCCGCCGCTATGGCGGGTCTCCCTCCCTCCCTCCCCTCAGCCGCCGCTATGGCTGGTCTCCCTCCCTCCCTCCCCTCAGCCGCCGCTATGGCTGGTCTCCCTCCCCCCCTCCCCTCAGCCGCCGCTATGGCTGGTCTCCCTCCCCCCCTCCCCCTCAGCCGCCGCTATGGCGGGTCTCCCTCCCCCCCTCCCCTCAGCCGCCGCTATGGCTGGTCTCCCTCCCCCCCTCCCCTCAGCCGCCGCTATGGCGGGTCTCCCTCCCCCCCTCCCCTCAGCCGCCGCTATGGCGGGTCTCCCTCCCACCCTCCCCTCAGCCGCCGCTATGGCGGGTCTCCCTCCCTCCCCTCAGCCCGCCGCTATGGCGGGTCTCCCTCCCTCCCTCCCTCCCTCCCCTCAGCCCACCGCTATGGCGGGTCTCCCTCCCTCCCCTCAGCCCGCCGCTATGGCGGGTCTCCCTCCCTCCCTCCCTCCCTCCCCTCAGCCCACCGCTATGGCGGGTCTCCCCCCCTCCCCTCAGCCCGCCGCTATGGCGGGTCTCCCTCCCTCCCCTCAGCCTGCCGCTATGGCGGGTCTCCCTCCCTCCCTCCCTCCCTCCCCTCAGCCCGCCGCTATGGCGGGTCTCCCTCCCTCCCCTCAGCCGCCGCCCGCCGCTCCCGGGGCCGCTGGCGGAGCTTCCCGGTGGCGCAGAGACCCGCAGGCGCGGCAGGAAGAGCGGGCCGGGGCTCGGCTCAGCCCCGGGGGCTCGGTCGGTGCGGGGACGCAGCGAGCCGTCCCGCCGCCAAAGGCCCCGCGCTGCCGGGTGCGGGAGGGGTGGGCGCCAGCCGCAGCCGGCGGCCGCTTGGGGAAAGTGGGAAGCAAATTTACCGTGAGGGTGAAAGGCCTGGGTGCAACCGCGGGTTAAATTGTGGGATTGACAGGTGATTTTAGCGACTCGGGGCGGACAGCCTCATCTTTCTGTAGAAGTTTGCTTTTTTGTTATCTAGATTTGAAAGCCATATATTAAGAAATTAAGATTTCCAGCGCTGATTGAGTACTTTTTGTAATGTAGCATACCATACTCCCACAGTATGTATCCTGGGCTGGGATATCACAGAACACCGTTCTCTTCAGAATCTTTCCCCATGACTCAGGCTGTTCAGTTTTTGTCACCACGTTACGTGTGCTTTTATCTGTTTGTGTTTGCAACTTCATAAAAATAACAGGCTCTGTTATCTTTAAATTATAATAACGCATTCCTAGTCCACTAGCACAGCCTTATTCTTAAGAGTGTCTAAAAGAAAAACACCAAAAAAAGAGAAATGTGTAAAACGGGTACTGTGATCCTTCTGTTATAACTTTTAATCTTCCCCGTGTTTTCTCGTGCATTCACTGTGCTGTATCTGTAAGATTTCAGCAGGTAGCGTTAGCTTGCTGTACGAAGCAGTTAGGTTTGCCTGTGATGACTGCTGAAACGTGAGCCTGCCTCGCGTAGAATGCATCTTTACAGGAGAAAATAGCTTCTGACCATGTGTACAGAGCATTGTAGTGCCGCCCACGAGCATGGAGTTGTTCTGCTGTTGTTAGCAGAGGAGCAGAAGCGGAGGTGGGATGTGCTGAGGAGCGAGGAGAGGTGGGCTGGGAGCTAGATGATGCTCTCGAGGTCGTGTGAGCCAGAGCTCTAGCTGGGCACTTCATTTAAACTTCAGTGGTTGTGATCTTTCTTTGGTAACAACTTTGGCTTTCATAAATTTCTTTGGGGAAAAGAGTAGGGAAAAGTTTGTCTGGGTATAAACAGATACCCAGACACATACCACAGACAGTAACGTGGAAGGGAAAAAAAAAGACACTGACAAACCAAAACAACAAGCCAGCTGTGACATGAGAGGCTATCCAGCAAAATGTTTCTTCAAAACTGGGTAACCTGGCAAGTTTCTCTCATAAAAAGCCAGATGACCACAAAATCTTTTGAAGAGAGATACTGATGTTAATGCAGGTTGAGCAGTTCAGCTTTTTGCTGTTTTCATTTAATTGATGAACCTTCAGTCTCTCCACAGCCGGAGTGTCTTTCTTTATCTGCTGTTTCTGTTTCGCACTAGATCTCTGCATTGGTTTCTCCCTTTCTGCGTACCCTTAAAACTGCCCCTTTATTCCTTCTGTTGTTCTCTTGGACGTGGCTTGGTTCCTAAGCTCTGCCCGAGCCTCTCTTCCTCTAGAGCAGGAACAGTCCAAACACCACTGTGTCTCTCCCTTCCCTTGCTTTCCCCTTGGGCGTCCTTTCTGCTGCACTCACCACAATTCAGGGAGTTTCACCTGTCCTCTGTCTCCTGTAATTACTGTTATATTTCCTCTGAACTGTTCTAGGATGGGCACGGTGCGTCTAGTTCTGATGCTGTTTACACACATAAACAAGTTACATGGGTAAATTCCACTGACATTTATATAATTGGTATATTATCTGTCCCTTGAGCTGCTTTATATATGAGACAGCAGATACAGGTCCTTTTGTGTGTTGGTTACTGCTAGCCCAGAAGAGAGTTGTTTTTCAGCACACTCTTAAAAAAACAAAGCAACATGTGACTGTTGGTGTTAAATATACTGCAAGTAGCTAACACATGATCTAGTTGTTGCCACATATCCTTTATTGCTTAACAGTAACACCTAAAAATGCCTACTGAAAAGAGGCTAAACAAAACACAGTTATTGGGTTCTTGAGCCTAAAATGTTTTCAATAAATGAATAAACAAACTTCAGCAGAGAAAGTCCTTGAGATTATTTTATTTGGCTACCACCAATGTTGAACAACAAAAATTAAACATATCCTGTAAGAAAAGATCTTCAGCTGCAGAAAAAACCACAATGTACTGACCAGCTTCTTTTCAGTTCTGTGAGACTTTCCAGCTCGCTAACAAAAGCGCCCCTGCTTTTTTGGCATTTAATCATGTTTATTAGCCGAGATGTCAGGGCTAGTGCTTGTGCATGTCATACTGCAATGTCACACCGGGGAGGATCAACAGGCTCATGTTTTACGTGCCTTTTACGCAAAACCACTTGGTTTATTCTGGCTCTGTTTTCAATTTTGCCAAACAGGTTCCTGGGTGGAACTCCACTTCAGCAGCAATGGAAATGGCAGTGGAAACACTGTCACGCCGATGAGCCAAGAACAAGTACCAGCCTCTATTTCTATTCACAATGGTGACATGGAGAAAATACTCCTTGATGCTCAACATGAATCTGGAAGAAGCAGTTCAAGAGAAAGTTCACATTGCGACAGGTAAACAAAATGCACAGTAAAGATCACTATTACACAGAGCCATATTGATGCCCAAGATGCAAAGACAAATACAGAAATGCTAACGTATGTGTATGTATTTACATATGCACATACATATACACACATGCAGAGAGGAAGAGCTAGGAAAATTTCATATTTAAAAGATTGGTGTTTAAGTATTAGAGTAATGGTTGGGTGGACGCCTGTCCTGAAACCAGAAAGAAGTTGCAGGGGAGAGGACTCTAGAAGACTTCACATGTCTCATGAAGATGCCACCTTGGGGTTTTGGTGTATCCTGATAAAGAAGTCCAGCAGCAGCAGCTGAACTCTCTACGGGTGTGCTGCTTGTGTGCAGGCAGCAGCCTTGTTCGAGTAAATAAAATATGCCAGAGCCATGTGTAGCTGTCGTTCTGAGGGATCAGTCCTTGTGCAGGCAGTGTCAGTGCTGCTCTGAAGAGCATCTAGTGCTGCTGACGCTGCTGCCTGGAACAGGAATGAAAGTGAGAAGGAGAAACTTGTGTTTTGGAATAAGGTACCTAAGTTAATAGTTCTTAGGTAATTGCCCTAGATCTAGTTTGCAAAACAACAGATTCCTAGGAGTATAATGCAACAAAACAACTTGCATCTGATGCAGATTGTCAGTCAGTGTTACGGATTCACTCATTTGATTTTGAAGGGCTGTGAAGTCTGCAGACTAAAGTTTGTTTTGTTTGTTGTTGTTTTTTTGTGTTTTGTTTTTTTTTAAAAAAGGAACTACAGGACTCAGGATAGACAGTAGGATGCAGAACTTCCTAGTCTTATATGGTTAGTTTGAATTCAAACCAAACCCCACTTCTATTCATGATTTGCTGCCCGTTGTTATGCTGCGACCTCACAGGCATACCTCTGCACTGCTGCAAACAGCTCTGTGCAGCAAGCTTCCGGGCAGGTTGTTAGAAAAATCAAAGGTAACTGAGTATGATGGCTGGATTATGTCACCCATTGACAGATTAATCTCTTAAATTATGGTCAGGGTCCTATAGCTCTGTGGGAGAACTATGCATATAAGCTTCCTTGACTAGGTTTTAGTGCATACCATAAACCATGTCATAAAAAATGTAATGAGTTCTTTCTTACTTGCACTTCTCTCTTTATCCAGCCCTCCTCGTTCCCAGACACCTCAGGACAGTCACAGAGCTTTGGAAATAGAGAGCCACAGCAGTGGAGAAAAGAACAGCTTTCAGGTAAAAATCTCCTCTTGCTCTGGGAGAACGAACTTCTTACTCTCATTGTTTGAAAACCAGCATTAGGAAATAAGAGTTGAAGCTGCGAATGTAGAGACTGTCATAATGTAGTAACTTAGAATAATCTTGCAGAATCAGGCTTTGTGTATTTGTATTTGCTATACATGTTTGGGGTTGTTTTTTTGTTAATCTGTAACCTGAGATTTTTTCAGAAGGATGTAGGTGCCATAATCTATTGTTTTTTAAAATAACTAGGTTCTCAAATGCCTCTTTCCAGTCACCAACCTTCAGATCCTACAAATATCTTTTAGGAAAAAAGATAACCCAGAAGATAACCACTGTTCTAGAATTTAAGGGAGCTGGAGTCAGCACCTTGCTAAGCCTCCGCAACTTCTTGTGGTCCTGAGACGGGTTCTCTATCACAGTTTCTTTTGTCCTGTGAGGCAAATGGTGCTGTGTTCTACTCAACAGGTCGACTGTGGTGTAAGTCTAACAGATTGAGAGATGACTGGATTTCACATTAAGGTGTATAGGAGATGCATCAATAGGGTGGGTATATACATGGTTATATAGGTGAACATTAATGCTCTGTGGACCATGTACTGGGCAGAAGTTTCCTCTTCAGCCTCTGCCTGTCAACTTGGTACATTTTGTACAGCCCTCATAATGGAATTTTATTGAAATGCGCTACCACCGGTGTGTTATGAATTTAAAAAGTCAATTTGATAGCAGCAAGAATTTCTAGAGTAGCTTAAAGGTGACGGCCAACAACATACGTTTTCAGAGCACTGCCATAGCTTTATGATTCCATTTCATTTTAACAACTGGTACTTAGTGTTTCTGTGTGCTGCTTTGAAAAACTCACTGTTATTTCTCATTTATTTACATACTTGCAAAGAAAATCAGTAAATACTTTTGAGAAGAGTGGGGCAAAAGGATACTGTATATTTAACCATGTTTTATCAATATATAGCTTATTGCCTGATGACAGGCCAAGACCTTCAGTCTTCACTGCAATTAGCCACTAGCTTTCACATGAAAAAATTTACTTCCAAAACATTTTGAGGAGAGAAGTGTTAAAAGTATTTGAGTAAATTCCTGTGCTCTTCTGAAGGCTGCTTTCTTCCCTCACTTCCCTTTTACAGTGGCTGCTGTTTATCATCTGTAGCTGCGTGTGTGCTGGGTTTTATCTTCTCAGGGTCTCCTTGATTTCCTTGGCTGTCTCTGTTAGTTCGTGGATTATCTTTTTCTACCCAGTGTTACAAACTACTTAAAACAAAGTCTGTGTGTTCACTGTTTTTACAGTATTTGACCCTGTGGGATTTCAGCTTCATATGGTTTCTAAGTTATACAGCTGTATCAATAATAGATTTAATCAGTTCGCAAAATTACATGAAGTAAGCTTGATCCCATTGCCCCTTCTTTTCTCTGAAACTCTCCCCATCATCTCTACAACTCCTGCCAGAACCTGAACCTTGCTGAACGAACTGCCGCCTTTAGGTTAGCTAAATACATTACTGGAAATTATCTTTATTTTAGATTTCCAGAAAATCCTTCATATGTTTAAAGATATTATTTAGACTTCAAGAACAAATGATCAGAAGCTAAAAAAACATTGGAATTAAAATTGCCTGAACAGTTTTATTTCCATTCCTAAGTGTGTATGTGTGCATATGTAGCTATTTTAATTCTAGGATCAGCTACTATTTTTATCACAAGACCTTGGCTCCATTTAATACACATGCATTAAGCAAGAAACTGTATTCTTATTCAGCATTTACTCTGCAATTAATTTGGAAGCAAAGCTGCTGTCGGGGGTGGGTTTTTTGCACAGATGTGTGCAGGCAGACCTGGGCTCGCTTCACCTGGATTCCTTCCCAGTGCTGGCCCGAAAGCCCGGTGCCTTTGCGGGATGGGAACTGCTTTCACTGGGTGTGGTGGAGGATCGCCAGTCAGTGTGACACCCGTTTGGTTTTGGACACAGGCAAAAAGTTTCTTCTGCCAACCGTCCATCAGGTGTGAGACCTGGAGGTATTTTCAGACCCTGCGTGGAGGGATTAAACGCAGGGCTCTGGCGTTGCATTGCCAGGCTGGTCTTTGCTTAAGCACGTACCGGACATGGATCGGGGGTAGGGTCTTCTCTGTTCACATCCTGCTCTGGAGACAGATCGCCCCGCTCCCCGTCTTCATCTTGGATCTGAACACTCCTGTAGAAGTGATGCGGGGAGGCCACGGTGGGGAGAGGTGGGAGAAGTGAGCTTCAGAGGTAGTCTAGCCCGCGGCCTTCGGTGCGGAACAGGAGCTTTGTTCTGCAGCACTACCCTCCTCCCTGTGGCGCTGTGAGTACTGTGTGACAATGGCTCTTTGTTTCAGTCTGAAGAGGATTTTCTTGAAAGGAGGAAAGAAGTGGAAAGGCTCCTGAAGAAGAACGCGGATTGGATATGGGATTGGTCCAGCAGGCCGGAGAACATCCCCCCAAAGTGAGTGCTGTCGGTGTTTCTGGACGAACTCGGGGGCAGCTTTTACTTCCACAAGTCTCAATACGTATCTGCTAATGCTGCGACTGTGTTTCCTTCCTCAAAACTAGGGAATTCCTGTTTAAACATCCCAGGCGCACGGCTACTCTCAGCATGAGAAATACCAGTGTAATGAAGAAAGGGGGGATATTCTCAGCGGAATTTTTGAAGGTGTTTCTTCCATCTCTGCTTCTTTCTCATTTGCTGGCCATTGGACTAGGGTAAGTTTCAATTAAAAAAAAAAAAAAAGCTACTTTTTTTTTTTTTTAACCTGTTTTCTCCGAGGCTTACTTCTGACTCCCAAATGCCTCTTTTATCTAATAGATGAGTTAATACACTCTCCTCCGTAGAAGGGGGACAGACAGTTATTCAGGAAGTGCTTTCTACTTGTCCGCTTGCGGGATTGCTGAATGTATCAAGTTTTGTTTTTCTGGTTTCCTCGCTAGTTGAGGATTTTTCAAAATACCTGAGGGGCACTGAAATGAGGAGTTGTATATACGGACTGCAGTTATACTTACACAATACTTGGTTCCATTGGAGATGGGACTTCTCATCTCCTAACTAATTGCAGAGGAAAAAGATGCTGTTTAACACATTTTAAAATCCCACTCACCCCTGGGAGGGACGGGGGACACCAGACAAAGCGGGAACTGCTTCTCGTTAGGTGATTTAGGGGTTAGATGGTCCTTTAAAAGCAGCGCCAGGGCACGGACCACGGGGAAGGGATGAAGCACCTTTGGGTCAGGGTGAGAGTCCCATCTCCTGCCGCTTCGCTTCGCGTGGCCGAGGGCACGGGTTACCTGCCAGGGCAAACTCAAGATCTCGGCCACGTAACGCTGTGAAAGTAACGTGAAACTAATTTAACTCCTTCCAAAATTAAAGTGGGTGACCGCACGAGAGAGAGTAAAAGCATAATGGAACTTTCCTTTCAAAATAAGCAGGGTTTGGTGGTGTAAGTAATTCACTTTCTTGCTGGCCACTTCCACCCCTGCTGCGAGTCGTTCCAGTTCTGTAGTGAGCGAGTAACAAAGTCACATCTTCAGGAAGTGCTTAGTGTAGTGTCAGCAGAATAGTTACGCTTCCACACAGTAACCTCTTTAAGCTCCAAGAAGCACACGAATAGAAGATGCCGTGTAGGGCAGCTGTGCAAGCACTCCTTACGTGGAGGTGGCGGTACAGTGAGAGGCTTACAAATTTCAGAGGAACTTAGCAAATGGAAAAACTGAAGGGAAAAGGTAATAAAGTGTGTGACTTGGAGCCCTGCTGGAGCAGTGTGCCCTTGACTCTGGCGTTCCTGAAGCTGGACAGCTTACACAAATGGCTCAGTCCTAGGAGCTGGGGAGCGTTATTAGAGAAGGGCACGCCCGCAGCCACTAGGAACTGGCGGCCGAGCCTCGCAGCAGTCACTTGAGTTGCCGGCTTAGTTCCAGCTGGCTCTGCTGCTCCCGCTGCAAAGGACGGAGCTGGGAGCCCGATGAGAAAAGCCGCGTCCCCTGCGTGCTCCGCATCCTTTTTGACACGAAAGGCAGCGCTGGCTGACCGCACGCTCTCGATCCTCAGGATTTACATTGGAAGGCGCCTCACGACCACGGCTTCAAGCAGCGCCTTTTAAAGGCTCTGCAGTTGGAAAGCAAAGACTCGGCTGGGAATGAAGGAGGTGACCAGCAGGAACGTCTGAGCTGGCGCTGACTGCCTGGGCAGCGTGTCTGGGTCCTGCGAGCGTGGTGTTCTAGCTTGGCAAGAATGGGAGAGGGGACACTACGGCTGGTATATCATTTATAGGCTTCTGGATCAATTCATAGAGCTCGTTTCAGGTGCATTAACATCTGTTCTATTGCTTTGTAGTGAAGTATCTTTTGAAAATTAGAAGAACTCGCTATTTAAACCCAATCCTAGCTTTAATATAGCGATTGTGATTCAGCTAGGTGCTCTTCCGGACTGCTGGTTCTTTGTACTTCATGGATGTGAACATTTGTCACTGCTGCTGTGACCATGATAGAAAAGGGATTAGCCCAAAACAACGCGTGGCCTTCTGCGTCCTGCCCGGGAATTGGGAGGCGCTCTGCCCTCACTCGAGGCAGCCCCTCCCTTGGGTGGCTGTTGCTGGGTTCTCTCCCGCTGCTGTGTGAGATGGGAATGGTGAGAGACCCGGCCAGCGGGAGCAGAGGAGCGGACGAGGGACGCTTCCCTCGGTTCATGCTAGTTCAGAGTGGGATGCGCAACGGCCTGAATTCAAATTTGGACTCTAGTGCCTGATAAACAGCTGCTTTTGCGAAGACATTTATTTAACTCTCCATTAACAGAAGTTCCTTCTGTTATCTCTACTGGCACACTATCGCTTCTCAGTCTTTTTATCTGTAAAACAATAAATTTGCATCTTCCATCCTCCTCATCCTTGTATAGATTTTAAAAAAGGGTTGCTTGCTTATTTGTTTTTACTAATGGAATGCCTTTTCATTCAGTGATTTTACCTTATTTAATGAGAGGAAAACGAATGTTTGCCAAAATACCATGTTTTATATATTTAAATAAAAAGGTTCCTTGTGGATTCAGAGTTTTTTCATTCCTTTTTCTCTAATGATTGTTGAAAGTGGCTGACAAGGCTCTTTGTCTTTAAACAGGAGTTTCACACACGCACCACTGACGAGTAAGGTGAAGGTTTCTACAGAAGACGGCTTCCTTGCTCAGTCGTGGGCTGGAAGCCGGCAGTAGAAGCCACTCGGGAAACAAACTCACGGAGCTTGCAAATACGCATTATTCTACTTTGTACCGCTGTAACAGTTTAAAAATCAACTTTGCTTTCTACTTTCATTTTGCCCCCCTTCAGCAGTGCTGACTTTCCCCTCTGTGCGTGACCTGGACCCTGGATGGAGCCGCGCTGGGAAAGGCAGCCCAGACCTGCGCCGAGGTCGCCGGGGGCAGGTTTCGAGGCGGGTGGGTCTGTGGTCTTTCTGTTTTTAAGGTGGAAGCAGATCAGAATTCCAGCCCCACGGGCTGTAAATCCGAAGTGGGTTATGCTAGTGTCCTTTTATTTTTTGTTTAATTGTTGTTCCCTCAGCTCCACCCCCCGCCGTGGGATCCCACCTGCGGGGAGGCAGAAAGGTCTGTCTCTCCCTCCACCAACATTTGCAGCCGGGCAACCTTCTTTTTCAGCTTAGGCACAATGAATGGGGGTTTTAGGGGTAGTTACACGTTTCATTCTTAGCCATTCTTAATTGATTTTAATTAGGATTACATGCGTAATTATCTCTGAGGAGCTGAACCTGCATCCTTCCCCTTGCAGTTTCAACAGCCTTTCCAGGGGGCACGTGCGGGTGTGTGCTGCTTTTCCTGAAGCAATCAGGTAGGCAGAGTTTGTCCGTTTTTCAGTTATTCCAGAAAACAGCAGGTAACAGACCCGGGTCCCGGTTTTAGGGATGATCTGGACCGTGACTGTCCCCTCGGGAAGGCCGCAGCCCGCTGTGCCGGGGATCCCAGCGCGGCGCTCAGGCGGCCGCTGGCGCTCGGTACCCCCAGGTTTGGGATCAGAAAAACTCACGTTGAACCCACCAGCCACCGCGTTTCCAGGACGCGCCCAAGGAGGTGGTTACCCCTTTCGGAACAAACAGCGTGGGAAACACCTAAACCCCTCACCCGAGGGGCGAGGCTGGACTCAGGTTTATCTCTATAGCAGCAAAGTCTCAGGCTGTCCGGACGCAAGTGGAACTGCTGCCTCCCTATTACTTTCAGCATGATTGAAAGAAGCAAAGTTAATTAAAAAAACCCCTAACCAACCGAAAAAAAGCCCCAACCCCCTAGTCATGGTGCCACTAAAACAGCAAAACATTTGGCATCGTTACCCAATTATGGGTCAAGGCATTCCTACAGAGCTACATCAATTTCTGCAGTCATGTTGGCCTTTTGCCTTGGCATTTTCAACATCGATTTCTGTAACAGACGCCTCATACAAATTTCGGTTATCAGTCTTTTAAAACAACTTAGAAGTGTGCAGGCTTCTCTAAAGCCACGAACCAGTGGGCAGGCAGTCCAAAAGAAGCATAAATACAAAAAGAAATGGCCCAGAACTGCCTTCACGCACTCGCTATTGACAAAATCCTGCACCGAAGCCTTAAAGCCATCCGATCCTCCCGCTTCACACCAGGGGAAATGGAAAAACCAGTCAATTTTGCAACTATCTTGTATTCTTAAAAAAAAAAAAAATAAATAGTAAAGGCCACAGCATAAATAAGCAGCATTTTAAGTACAGCACGCTTCCAGGCCAAGGAGCTCTATTTAGAGAGGCAGGAATAACTCGTTCCACCTCCTTGAAGGAACCTCATTCCCCGCCGTGGCACCCAAGGTGCTGGGGAGGGTCCCGTCCCCCCCCCCCGAGCTGCCTCTCCAGCCCGCGGGGGCCACTGCTGCTGCCGTCACCTCAGCTGCCCCCGGCCCAGCAGATACCAAAAGGGACTCACGAGGGGATCGTTTGGGATCCCGGCGTTTTCAGAAGTCCCGGGAAGCTGCCTCCCAGGGCCCTCGGGGCAGGCAGCTTGTTACAGTTTTTGAGCGTTTTCTCTACCTGGGCTTAAAGCTCGGCGTGCAGCGGCCGCCCTCAGGGGCCGGCAAAGGTGAGGAGAGAAGCTGAGCCCGTTTCTGTTCTCTCGGCAGACTCCTCGTGCCCTGCAGTTTGCACAGAGGAGGAGGAGGAGGAGGGGGTTTACTTCCAGGAGCTGTTTACAAACACCCGGACTCCCGGCCCAGGGAGAGCTCTGGGCACAAGGACACGGGGGACCTGCAGCCGTTTCCCTGGTAGAAGCTCAGCCCAAGGCATTGCCTGCTCAAACGTGCCTCAAGCTCATCCTCGTCAAGGCTTAAGGGAGCTTCTTACCGCCAGTTCCGTAAGCGCCACCAGGGCCCGGCTCAAATCTGGTGCAAGGCAGGAAAAGACGTTTGTGTCAAAAGCGAGGGAGGTGGGGGCACCGAAGGCCGCGGCCGCGTGCTGCCCAGGGCTGAGCGCCGAGGAAGAGCCGCACACTCGTTGGCTCCGAGCTGCAGCTCGCCCTCCGGAGCAGCTCAGGCCCCACGTCACCGTCCCGGGGACCGGGGGGGAGAGCCAGGCTGGCGCCTCCCGCCCGGCCCGGGGCCCTCTCTGCCTGTTAAAAACCCTGGGTGCAAAGAACAGGACAACAAAACCCCCGAGTATTTTATCCCCAGCGGGGAGGGGGGGGGCCGGCAGCAGCCAGCCCCCTGGGTCCGGCTGCGGGGTTGGGAACTCCTGCTCGAAGGCGACTCTTGCTCGTCTTCCCACGCGCCGCCCCCCCAACCCCTCCAGAGAGCTGCTCAAACAGCCAGGGGGTGGAAACCGTTCGAGAGTGGGAAAAAAAAACCCAACAAACGAGCCCCCCCCGCCCCGGGTTTTGGTTGGTGATGGGGGGGCAACCGCGCCCCGCGCTGTGACGGGGCAGGGCTGCTCCCCAGGGAGCCCCCGCACACCGGCCAGGGAGGCCGGGGGGAGCAGGACAAGGACCCGCGGTTAAAAGCTTGAGAGAAACAATTCTTCTGACTTTTGAGCCTAAAAATAGCAGAGCAGCGGGGCGGTACTTGAGCACCCCCACGCACACACACACACACTGCTCCTCTCCAGCGTGGTCTGGAGCCAGCCCGCCTGTCCCTGGTGTCCCGTTCTCAGCGCAGGATGACAACGGAATTCGGAGTTTAATCTTAACCCCCCTCCCTGCAATCCCCGAGGGGCAGCACCCCCCCTCGGAGCGGGGTGGCCCACCACCTCCCGACGCTTCTTCATCGCGTGAGCGGCGACTGTAGCCGGCGCAGGTTCCTCCCTCCTGCTCCCTGAAGGATTTAACAACTCGCCCCCCCGCACACGCCGCAGGGCCAGGAGCCCTCGCGGGTTTTTTTTTTTTGGGGGGGACACACCAGTGTTCCGCGGGGCTCCCCTCGGCCGGGCACGGGGGGCTCACCACGCCACCCCGCCCTGCCTCCCCCTCCTAGCGCGCCCGGCCCCCGCCTGGAGCTGCCCCCACGGGATCCCCGCGAGCGACCGGGGGGGATGCTCCTGAACAGGGCCCGGGAGCCAAGGGGGGTTTGGGGCAAATATCTGAAAAAAAAACAAAACAAAAAAAAAAAACAAAAAACCAAACCAGTCGTTTTAATCGAATCGACAGTAAAAATCTGGCTTTAGAGAAAATGAAATGATAAAAATTTCATGAATCATCAAAAACTATTTAATTGAAAGTGGTACAAGCAAATCATGTTTTATATAATAGAAGATTTCATCATATCCTTTTTCTTTTTACTCATATTCCACTTACATTTGCTGAAAAAATAGATCAAAAATAGACAGCACTAATATATTCACTAAATATGAACAGACAGCTTTCTGAGTTAGAGGTATGACCATTCAAAAACTAACCATTTAAAATGAAAATACAAACAATCCTCAGGTTGGCTCATATGGCCAACTATCTCACAAACGGAAGAAAAAAGTTGTCAGAATACACAGAGCAAGTCCAGGTAAACATTTAAAATTTATTAAACTTTTTGGTCAAAATAACTGAACAAGTATGTACAATCCCATTGTATTAGCTCTATTATGTATTTTAGGAACAAGGTCAAATCTAACGCTTTAGTGACCCAGAAGTTCCACATTTCAAGATTTTTCAAATAGTGTCACAACCAATATACAGTATAGGATTTATTTAATTTAAACTTTATCGGTAGAACCTCCACGTTAGCTGTCGTTACTGGCTTGCTGGGAACACGAGTGGCACTCTGTGGACATTAATCAGGAGGGTGAGAGCGGAGACGTTTTGCTCCTGCATATGCAGATCTGGTTCAGTAATCGTAACACACCTTCATTTTAAGAAAAACGGAGTGTAAACCACACTGCTGTCTTTCCTCGGGGCAGCTCAGGGGACCCTCCTTTTTCAGACACAATTTCTGGTTTGCAGGCACGTTTCAGAGGGTGTAATGCCTACCTACTCGGTGCTGCCAAACGCGCTGCAACAGCTTCAGGAACAGTCTCTCACCCAGGCTAGTGGAGGGCGAAGAGAAGGTTGATGTATTTTAGGCCTCTTCGGAAGGAAGGAAAAAAAAAAAAAAAAAAAGAAAAAAACCCCAAAAAAGTACCTAAGGCTTAAAAAAAGTTAGCAAGAACAGAGTTCCAACAACTGCAGTTAACACCAGCTTGTGGCCCCGGTGTTTTCCGACAGCTCCGTTCCAGTCAGAACGTGCTGGAAGGCATTAAGCTGCGTTGGCGCTTGGCATAATCAAGAGCATTTTGGTTGGTTTTTTTTTTTTTTTTTTTTTTTTTTTTATACTGGCTTGAACTGCAGTGTGAAATACAATATATTATGCCAAATATTTAAAATAAACTATATCTTCATGACAAACACTAAAAAGGTTAAAAAAAAACCATAATGCACATAAGGTATGTCTCTATGTAACATTGAGAGGCATCAGATAAACGGAATTTTTATCTTCAGAGAAAAAAAAATTGTTAAATGTTTTGTTTTCCCTTCTGTGCAAGGCGGTCACTTTCTGTTAAGGCTGTGGATGTCTTTACACCGACCTTTCCAATCTCCTACCTGGTACACAGAGCGCGTTTTACGAGAAAACCAGCGCAACTTAAACCAAACGACAATTTATCGAAAACTCTAAATGTAGAATTTGCAATACTACCCAAAAGAGTTCGTATTAGTCTGCCAAAAAATCAGTGTTCTGGGGCAGACACTGTCACATCTGCCCACCAGAATTACTTTGCACAATCTCAGTACATGCAATAAAAAAATAAAAAGACTGACTACATACCTTCAGATTTAAAAACGGTTTTTATAGTTTGTTATTTTATTAAGTGGTTTACACCAGAAGGTGCGGTTATAGATACAGTTGTGAGTAAATATCCATGGACACCTGTCTACGAACCCGACTCAAGACCTACCTAAGTGCTCAAAGGTAAAAACACCTAAGCCTAGATACAGGCCAGAGGAGGAATGTGTACAGGCATTAAGCACAATATATGTTTTGGAAGGCCCAAATATTACAGCAGAGAAAGAGCGCGAGAGATAGAAATTACATTTTTATGACAATTTTTTTTTTCCTCGGGTGTTAAATTTTTGGTCTATAAACTGGAAAGGAAGGCTCAGACTTAAATAAATACATTTGTTTCGAGTATTGGCCTCATTGAGCGCTGTCCATCAATTCTGCCTCGGGAGGGTTTCTCCCAGAACACCGCGACCGACGCTCCCCACCCTCTCCGAAGGCAGAACCACACCAGGAGCTCAAACCCAGGCCAGACCCCCTCCTTTGTCTCAAGGGAAGCAAGTGCATCAATGTTCTTCACTGCAGGACAACAAGGCCTTCTCTTTTACAGATAAACAACTGAGCTTAACTATGCAAGACGATGACTCTGTCCTCAAGCCAGTCATCTTTAGTTAATTTTGTCCTGGAATATATACAAGTTATTGGTGGCAGCTACAGCGATGATGTTCTCCATGGGATGCCACGCCGTGTGAAGAATCTTCTTGTTGAAGTCCAGGCTGTCAACGCTTATCTCGTCCTTCTTTCTCTTCCCGCCCGTGCAGACTTTACGCGGCTTTAGGATGGCACGAGGTTTGCTGCTCTCGCGGGACGCCTCTAGAGTGAGATCCCGCCGCGTGTTTCGGTCGAACATTCTAAAGAAATTGTTGTAGGATCCCGTCATGATAGCGCTGTTTAAAAGCGGGAGAAAGGCAGGTCTGGTTAGCTTCCCAGAAACGGGGAGAAGGCGGGGGCTGAAGACTCTTGCCGCACGAGGCGCCCGCCGGGCCCCCCTTTTCCCCTCCGCTGTGCACCTCTGCTCCGTTCCTGGACTCCCAGCACTGCTTCCACACCACCACCTTCTCCTCCAGGTGCTCCCCTGGCCCCCTCCTGCCGCCGGCACTCAGCCCCGGGGCTGATGCTTTGCTCACCCCAACGGGAGCGCCGCCGCTCTTCCCGTTGCTTCTATAGCCCCGTCATCCCGCGGCGCAGCGCGGGGGAAGCGGAGCCCCTGGAAGCCGCTTCCTTTGAGCGGGCTACCAGAGAGGGAAGTGCCCTCCTCGGCCCTGTGCACGCGCTGACCACCAGCACGCCAGTGGGGCAATTACAAAGGATTGTTTTCGATCAAAGGAACTCCTTATGCGACTGTCTGATGCAGCCCCGCAAACGCAATCCCGTTTCCGTACGGTACCAAACCTGCTTTTGGACAAGGTGGGGCAAAATTTGCATCTGACCATCCTTTCAGGTCGCTAGCTTCCGATGAACAGCTTTGGTTGTAGCTCTCGCCAAAACTATGCCTGAAACTGCGGCCGAGTGGGTCGCTGTTTTCTGTACTGAACACTTATCTCGGCCACGCGGAACCGGAAAAGCCATTTCCCACGTGGCAGGAGTCCCGCCGACTGCTAAAATCGCAACCACCTCACCCCTGGCATCTTATTCGCTGATACACATCGTCTTTGTGGCATTAAAAAACAAAAAAATCAATGGCCAGGGGGAGAATGAGATACTATCGCCACTCAGACTGCACTAGGGAATGCACCAAGTATTTTTTCCTTTTTCAAAAGGCGGTGAGCATCACAACTTCTGTTCTAATGAGCTGACCTTGCTCTGACCCCTCCTCCCCCGCCCAAATCATCTGGAGTTGCTTGAAAAAAAAAAAACCCACAGAAATAGGGCTGTTTCTTTGCATTTTAGCCTAGTGAAAAACTTACACCACTTCTTTCATGCATTTTATGCTAATATTGCTAGCAATTTTTGTTTTTGGTAAACTAACTGATATTGTATGATTTCTCCCCGCAGTAACAGAAAGTCACTTGCAACCCGGTATTTAGAGTAAACAACGTTAAAGAAAATCTGTTACTTGAGAAATCAGTAGGTGAGTGGCACGTAGCAGAGCATGCCGCCTCAGCTACCCCTGCACTGGCAATGTAGGAAGGGTTTCACTTGCTTCGCTGACTCCTGTGCACAGCTCACGAGATTTGACTTCCCTGATCACTGTCCCCATCGAAACTACCTGGTGGGTCTTTAATAGTCAACAGATTTCGGCCAAATCTTGTGTCGCGGGCTGATTCCGTCACCATCAAATCAAAACTGATTTCACTGAACAGCTTGCAGTCATTTGGTAGCAGACAAGTCATGCTTTAGGTATTTCAGATATACTCGTAAATCTTCTACCAAAAAAAAAAAAAAAAAAAAAAAAAAAAGAATGCCCAAGGCAATCCAAAGCATCCAGATAGAAGATCCAAATCCGCCACAGTTTTACCCAAGGTTTCCAAAAGCACTGGAACAGGAAGCTGACGCTGCCCCAGCCAGGGATGGGAAACACAGAGGCTCTGCTATCTGACTGAGATGCTTCCACAGCCTGCGGGCAAGACGTGCCCTTCAGCTGTTTGCAACAAATCTGTATAAATATTTAATTCAGGTTTATCTTCTTTAGCCTACAGAAAACATGGGAAGATTCAATTTGCAAGATGCTGAACGCGTGTTCTTGTGTACTCTGAGAGAATGAAACTGAGTCACGTTTTCATGGCCTGAAACGGCCAGTCCTGACTATATAAAATTTCAACAATAATTCGTATTAGAAGCAACCTGACACACAGAAGTTCATTCCACTTCTGCAACTGGAGGGTGAAGGATTGAAGAATGAAATTTTTTTTCTCAAAAAAAAACCCAAACCCAAACCAAACATCCAGTTGATCTGAATGTAACTAATTGCAGCCTTTAAGTTAAATGCTGCTTATGGCTTTCAAGACTGGAAACCAAATTCTTAATGCTGAGGCAAAACCAAAAATCCGGAACAATAAACACATCCCCCAACTTACCTATCAGAACCGTTCCAGCAGCATTCAAATTTGTCGAAGATGCAGTCATTTTCATAAAGGGAACAAAGCTTGCTTCGGAGATACTCATGAACCTTTTTGGAACATTTAAATTGGTATTAGACATAAAAAAAAAAAAAACAAAACACCAAACAAAGAAAGAAGAAAAGGGAAAAGAAGGGATATTTAAGAAAACTTGAACACCATACTTGATAGGTCTCTACAGGCCTGTTTTCCATATTGAGATCCCAGACTTTAACAGACAGGTAGTCTCTTGTCATCATGTATCGACCACTGTGACTGAATTTTACATCAGATATCGATGATATTATTTCTGAAAAAAATGATCGGCTGCTAGGATCCTCGGGTTCTTCAAAAACTGTAGATAGAAGACACAATTACAAGTGAAACCAACACCAAGTTTTACAGCTTCGAACATTTTTTGGTACTCGGAAAATTTTAAATCAATACACTGGTTTCTTTTTAAAGAAAGTTGCTGTTAAACGCTTTCTAGAAATCATCTCTTCTTAAACAATGTTATGCTCTTAGTCAGACTGCTAGACACCTATCTCCAACATTCTCGACTGGAGCACAGCATCAGCAAGCTACAATTCACAGGTCTTGGGGATGAATCAGAGAAAACCAGTTAAAAAACAGCGCGTGGGTACAGTCAACATTACAGCTGATCTACAAATCATGTTGAACAAGAGCAGACGAAAACATCAGCATCCCAAACACACTATCTTAATGCATGACCCCGGCATTCTGAGACTACTGTACGACACAACTTTTCTTTAGATCTGAACAAAAGTTGTGTAACACAACCTACTGAAACAAACTATTAGCATCTGCACCTGAAATCCAATTTGTATGGTTTTAGAAAGCAGATAAAGAAATGCGTTATTCAAATTGAAGAGTCAATCTTTGAAGTCAACGTTTCATGACACAAACTACCCAGAATTACTTATTTCATTTTTGAATAGACCCTTTTAACAGGATGTTATTCAGTGACAAGCAGTTAAAAAAATGAAAGCGCTTCTAAGTAATTCAATGCAACACTAAGTCAAACAGATGAAGTGGCCTAGCATTCTGCACTTCTCATTGCACAAATATTTCCTTCCACCAAAAAGCAAACCTCATCTGCACTGTCGAAAGCTTACCTGCAAGTATCAGTGTGGTAGGTCACCCCACAGGACTAGTAAGAGTAATAAATCACAGCTATTACAGCGGCTAACAAGAAACAAGAGGCTGTGTGCAAGGCACAGGCAGTTATCCTTATGACTTCAACAGGAAAGCTTTCCTCACCCACGTACGTTTACGTGGCTCAGCAGACTAAAGAGCATTCACCTCGCACCCCTGGAAACTCCCTTCAAACGCAGCACACGTTCTTAAGAATTAATTCTATCCTAGGAGCTGCAAATGGTCACAAAGTAAATGGATTCTGGCAGCATCAGCCCAGTTTCTAACGCACAAAGGTGAATAAACTGCCCTCAACTGGCATTTGATAAGCAGATACCTTTGAGAAGCACCAAGACTGAGTCTGGACAGAAGACAGGTCTCACTGGTGCCAAAAGCACTTGTTCCCATCAGTTTATGATGCATAAATGGGTAAACAGGAGCAGAGTCAGATCGTCAATTGTCTCATGCTACACTTCTGCTTGTTGATGGCCTAGAACAAGACAATTAAAATGTTCCATTCTACAAAACTACCACCCCTTACCTTGTATGCTCTTTACCAATAAGCAGAACTCGGCATGTTTATTTATAAGCAGAACACCTACACGCTCTATCTTGCATGAAAACAAAGCAAGAAACCCGTACAGCAGGGGCACATCCTAACTTACATTTTGAATGCCTGTCACAGAGGGCTGAAGAACGCATGTCACAGAGTCGAATAGTTCCTTTGCTACTGCTGTAGACAAACACGTTACAGTGGTGAGGGTGGAACTCTGCAGCAGTAATCACTTCTGTCAGCTCCTCCATGTTAGCAGGCTTAATATCTACAATATCTGGGAAGGTTTTTGTAAAGGCGTGTAACATTTCACATTCAAATCAATGTGAGCAGATAATTAGGGAAAAATGTTAAAAATACCACACAGAAACCAGGGCAACATCTTGTGTAGATTGCACACAGTGGAAATTCAAAGTAAAGCAACCCGAGTAGATTCAAGCAACAACAAAGAACATAAAAAAAAAATCTTCTAGATTTTTACAAATCAATTCTGGCAGATGCTGGAGATAATTTCAGACTCCTCTCAAGCCTCCTTCTTAGTGCTTCCTACTGAACACTGAATATACTTCATCTACTTACCTACAGCTTTAGAAAACTTGCATGTGACCTATTTAATATTCAGTATTTCTGCAACTCTTATTTTACTGCAGATTTGTCAAGGTAGGACGCACTATTAGTTTTGTATACACAGGCTTGCAAAAAGATTTGAAAAGTATTTCTGCGGTTAATGATATCATTTGACATGGAAAAAAATCAATTTTTTTTTAAGAAAAGTGACAGTTAAGAGACCATAAACTCTGGAAAGAAGTAGCTACAGTAACAAAGGATCTACTATTCAAATCTTTCAACTCTTACTTAAGTCGACTGAACTCCACAAATAAAGGATGCTCCCCAAATTCCTCAATTTCTCTTTAGAAATCAAACCATTTATGATATTTCTACTGGCCATTTTCCATCGAAAGAATGGTTGCACTCAAGAATGAATGAGAGCATCCTAATGCCTGCTTTCACTGTACTGAACCTCCAGATTTTAAAATCCGGTATTTTAATCCCTAGATTCAAGCACCTACTCTAATTAGTAAAATCAACGTGATTTCCTCAAAGATACACAGCCTAGATGTACCCCAGTGTTCACAGAGAACAAGAAAAGGATACTAAAACTTCTATCTGTGATTTCTAAATGCCATAGGTTAATTCTTAGGTCATCTGCAGAAAGGTATGTTTCATGATCACTATTTACTGAAATAGAGTTTATGTGATAAGTATGTGCATTTGCAAATATCCTTCTGGGACTTGCTTCTACCATTAGGTCCATGGGTTTCAATATTGGCACCTGAAACATGAAAAAGAATAGTCAATTTTGGCATAAAACTGATTTCTGCTTCAGCAGATCTTAATTAATTAATTGCACACTGCAGATTTCTTTTTTGATTTCTTAATTTTCAAATCCACTGAGCAAGTAATAGCCTAGGAATGCTGACTTTGCCTACTACCAAGACACAGCCTCAGACACCACCTCCTGCAGAAGTTACCTGCCAAATACAGCCGCTGTGTGCCTCATCCAACAGGAAAATGGGGCGTGCTGATTATGGTACTTGAAGATTATGTGAACACTTTGCAGACAAAATCCCCAATTTGTTCACTGAATGGTCAGGATGATTTTAGGAACACAAGGATACCCTATTTCCACAACTAGCTGATCTGAAGGCTGACACAGTTTGTCAGGGTCAAGTGGACTAAGGCTCCCTCCAGCTGCTGCTCACTGACCAGCAGGCGAATAGTCTGAGGTTGCCCAAGGACGTCCTACACTGTTCCAGTACGTACAGTTCAAGAGAACACTAACTTACATCACCCAACCACAAAAAACAGTTACGACAGTCTCCAAGATAATCTGTCTTCCTGGAGCAAGGAACAAATGAATCCCAAAGCTCTGTAGTTGCTTTCACCATGTTTATATCTCACAGTCTGTTTACATCAAACTGTAATGATTAAAATTAATCCATTACTTTTTATTAGACAATTTTCCTATCTCACCACGTGAGTGTTTCTAGCCTGGCTGTGAAACCGAAAATGCATTAATGTGAATTATCAGGAGTGGTACTCAGAAATGCCATGGTCTCTATGCAAAGGATGCAGTTCTGAAGCGCTGCTTCTCCTCCATGTCTACTTCTTTATAAACAAATGGGGATTATATTTCTGTAACAAAATATGCAAAAATAGCCCATAAAAGCCCAAGGTACATACACTCTAGATCTCTAAAACCTGACTATTTTAACAGACAGAGGTAACTCTAGGCAAGATATTTTCCCCTTCTGCCAACTGTTGCTCAGACTTGGTTCACTCCATCATCTCTTCTTGGAAGACGTAGTGCCTGGCAAGGTCTGCAGGGCAGCCCAACCTTCCCTTCCCAGAAAAGCAGACAATTTAGAAGACTGACTTTTAAGAGAGAGGTTCTTGCTTTATGTAGCTTCCCCCCATTCAGGTCAAGGACTCCTAAATATATTACAGTGTTTAGAGAAGATGCTAACGTACTCCCTCAGCGACACAGCCAGTACCTTGTAAAACCATTAGGCCATGTTCTGGACTCTCCATGGTCCCGGATGGGTAGCCTACTCCTGCATAAGGGCAAGGTTGTACAACCCCAAATTTCATCTGTACCTGCTTCAAGCCACTGGGCTAGGGCATTGTATAATCATTTGTTTCTTTGTTTTCAGATATTTTCATCAGAATACTCAATCAGATCTTGGCTCAACACATGCAGAGTAGAAAGACACTTTGCAGAGGAAGACTTGCAGAGGACCCTTTGCAGGGTCTCCTTTCCCAACATGATTATGCATTAGGCTCATGTATACTTAAAGCTTCAGTTCAATACTCAATTTAAGCAAAAGCAAGACAAAAATCCCTAACAGAACCCCCCAAGGGTATAGGCCCTACAGGCACCAGCAGTGGCACTGGCTTTGAAAGTAGAGAGAACCTCAGTTCAATTCCTATTTAGGCTAACGACAAGAACATAAAAAAACCTAAGAAAAACTCCAACCCCACATTATTTCATTTCTTGAGTTCCTGCTTTAGCTGATCCCAAGTTTGGAGCACTAGCCCTACCACTACACCACTCACACAAGTGGAAAAAGGTCAAGGCTATTCATGTGTACATTAGCTTTTCCAAACGCTCAGACCTTGCCTCTAATAAAACCACCTTCTATCTAACCACAGAATACCCAGCACCCCGTTTAAATTTTTGAGTCTTGTTCTTAGAAAAAAGGCCCAACAAGTTAAATACGAGCAATATTGAGGGGGAAAAAAAAAAAAAAGTTATCAATAGAATGAAAGCCAAATTCTTCCTAAATCCACCATGGCACGTGCTTTAAGCCCCGCCGAAGGGCCCCTCCTGCCAGCCCCGGGGAGCTGCAGGCGGGGAGGACGTGACGGTGCCCCCGGGCCCCTCGTGCCCCCGCAGACCCCCCAGCTCCAGCCCCGGCTGCGGCGCGGGCGGGGGGGCCCCGAGCCTTACCGGCCTCGGAAACAAACCCGGGCGCTGCGCTCGGACACCGGACTACTCCGGGGGACAGCAGGAGGAGGCTGGTGCAGCCCCAGCCAGAGGTGCTCCAAAATGCTCTACTTGCAGGCTTCAATTACAACATCTTGGTATATTTTACTGCCGACAATAAATCAATCTATCTTTTTCTACAATTTGAATATACTGAGGTGGATGAAGGCTGTCTCTAACAGAATATTTGAATTCTCAAAACCAGCTTAAACTTCAAATCCGTTTTAAATATGCCAAAATGTTCCCCCCAAAACCAACCAACAGACTATTGGGAAAGCTAGTAATATTATAATCATAACAGTTTATATATATATATATATATATATAAAAATATAAATATAAATAAATAAATATAAAACGAAGTTCCTCTAGAAAATTTGAGGCAAGCTCTCATGATTTTATATACATATAAATACAAAAAATGAAGTGTCTCTATTTTTCATAAAAGTTTTCAATGACCCTGACCAAACCAGCATTTTTAATCTACACATTTCAGTTGACAACTTTGGTAGTACAAAGGTAGAGAAGTACATGCAAAAAGAGATTTAAAGTCAAAGAGCAGTAACATACCCGTAGTGCTGTGATTCTGAAAGGATCCCTAAGTCTTCCATCTTCATCTTTTAAATTATAACCTTCGGCTCTTTTATCCCTTTCACTTATTTTCCATAATTTAATAGTTTTATCTAAAACCAAAAATTCACATGCTTGAGAATGAATTAAATTCAAAATAAAATCACTAAATAATGGAGTCAGCAGCGTGGATATGATTTATCTATCTAGGCTTCCGCTGCTTGCAAGAGAAAGGACCCTGATGGAGTTCTTTCTTTAAACAACACTAAGAGAGAGTACAGCCCTCCCTATGTATACTTTAAGTCCTTTGCCTTCAGCTATATTGTTTAGAAGAATTGATACATGAGAAACAAACAAAAAATACACCAGACACATGCATTTGGTAGGTGTGGATGGGAAATGCCTTAAATTTAGCAAGATTATTTTAATTCAAGGCCCCGCTGACAGAAGTCATTCCCGCTTTAAAAATTCTGTATAGCAGGTGGGATATCAGCCCTTACGTAGAGTCACTGAAGTACAAGGCAAAAAGGGATCCAAACTGTCAGGAACAAGCACATTGCTCTGACAACAGGAGCAAGTTTTTCCACACAGTTCTGTGTTTACCTTTACAGCTTGTTCCACGATGCATCAAAATGCAACAGACCTAGCGCTCATACAGCCCTAATACCACTGCAAAGATACTGGAAAAAAAACAAAAAACCCAAAGTGGATGGAAACTTCTAATTTCCAACTTGTAGTTTTTGCACTGCTTTTATATATTCTAAGATACACAGTGAAAATGGTATACATGTACTCCCCCTGAGTGACTGTTGTCTTTTAAACAGTTGATTTTCAAAGCACACGTGATGTTTTGGTATTAGAAAAGCAAAAAGAGCATTGTAACCACAGTGTTTCAATTTCAAATGTTTTTATTAAAAATTCAGCTGGGTTCACAAAAAATTAAACTTCAAAATTAGGATGATCAAGTCAAATTCAGACTTCTGCTACAGTTCAGCAAACTGGGAACCCGTTTATACAAAAACTAGGAAGTAGAGTAACAGGGTATAGAAACTGATAGCATGGTCAGTATATCCACAGAACACGGCTCTGTAACTACACCTGTGCTGTTCATGCTTCATTATTTTTACATTCATAAATCAGTAATTTACAGAGTATTACAATCAAAGCATATTTTGCATATAATTAGAGAAGACATTAAACAACCCCAAACCACTCCAGAAACACCCCCCACAAGTGGGTCACAGGTGAGATAACATTCAAATGACATAAAAAGTTCTTTGTGCAAAAATAAAGTATCCTTACCATTTGTAGACAGCAGGAAATGAGCAGCATTCTGTTGTGGTAACCACCTAATTTTATTAATTTTTTCCTCAATTTCTAGACTTTTCAAGTAGTCAAACTCAGGTTCATGACTCTGAAAGGTACTGTAAACATTATATTCTCCCCTAGAATGAGGACGGCTTTTATTCTGCAAGGAAACATAATATTTCTTGAAGCTGGTGTTACTCGGTTCATTAGAAATTGTACATACAAACTAATGACTGGAAATTGACAATTAGAAAGTAAACTTTTTACAACAGATCTCGATGAATTTTACATTTTTATGATACTGTACCTAGTTTAGCATGCACATAGAGCACACAGAGTTCCTTTTTAAAATGCATCTTCAGGTATGTGTGCAGCCATAGAACACAGCGTACCCCAGCACTCCAAAGAGGCATGCTGTCTGCAAAGCAGTTCCTGGGCTTGCTTGGAAGGGCTCTTGGCTACGCTACCTCTCCAGGCAGGTTCAACAGAATTGCAGCAGAGAAGTTAGCTACTTCCGAAATTATCAATTGCAGGGGCTTAGTTTCTGCACTTCACCTGACCTCCACTCCCATCCTTTTCCCAAACTCATTCCTCTAATCACCACAATATGGACATAATGTGTGGTTTCCAGACTAGGAAATAAATGGTAAAGGACATAGGCTATGGAGTAATTAAATACATTTTCTATAAAAACATGATTCTGCTGGAGGCACAGCAGGATCAAGTATGAACATTAGATCTAGCTTCTCTCCTATTCATTTTAAAACACCCTGTGTCCAGAAGTGGTATCAAGGCTTATAATTAAGCTTCGACAACCTTTTTTATTATAAAAACTTGAAGGCTGGAATCACCACATTTTCACCTAAGCTGCTCTGTAGTGCTCATCATGATGTACCAAAGCCTATTACAAATACCCTAGTAACCTTTTCCCTCACAAAACTAGAAGACCGCTTTGTATTATCCTCATTTGGTAGATGTGGTCGAAAGGAACAGAGACCAAAGTCACAAGTATCCACCAATTTGCAATACAAGATGTGAAGCAATTAGTTTTCAGCCTTTTCCGATAAGTTTATGTTAGATAGTGATTCATGTCTGGAGAACAGCCCCGCTTGTAGAGCTGCAGCGCCCAGAACTGCTGAAAAAAAAACAAACTCCCCAAAACACAATGGGAAATGACTCAACATGAGCAGCAGCAAATCCCTCCCTTGCAGAAGCAGGCAGTGGGGTGGGAAAAGCCTCCCCTGCACGCTGCCGGACCGCACCTTTCCGTGGGAAAAGCAGCGGTGCCACACACCACTGGAGACCACCCGGCCCACACAGGCAACCTTTGCTCTGACCCCCTTACGCTTCCACGCTTGACTTGGCAGCTTTGATAAGGTAACTTCAGCTAGGATGTTCTTCCTGCAATGCCTCACAAGTATGGAATTTTGGTTAATTCTGAGGCTTCATATTATTTTACTCCCTACTTGCCATTTTAAGCATTCGGGAGAGGACCCTCTCACCTAACACTGTTCGGTACCGTTATCTACAGTACCTACCTCGCCACCTGCATTTTGAGCAAGCTGCCTTTTCTGGCATTAGGCAGTGGCCTCACTCTCTACTCGTACATTTGGTTGGAATAATTGGCTGCTTGGAACTCAAATAACATCAGATGAGTTCAGGGCACGATGTGCAAAATTTCAGCCAGCCTTCCCAAATCAAAGCGTGTGGGAAATTTTATAACTATCCTGAGTTATTAGCCTAGTTAACTCAGTCTCAAATCCACACTCTTAAAAATACTGGTTATAAGATTTTATTAAGGTTCCGGTATTATATACCTGTTTTAGGATTTTTCCTCCACTCCAGAAATTCTGCAGTTTTGCACATGACAAGAGAAATAACCTTTATGCCCAACTCTTCCCTACAGTTCGCATGTGCTCCCTAGAAGACTATTTGAATAGCCTGAATTTGAATAGACTGATTTTCTTTTTTTTTTTTTTTTTTTTACACTATGAGGAAATGATGTGACAGCTGGGTTTTTACTTACAGAACAACTAAGCACTAACAGCTGAAAGTCTACCAGTAATAGTTCCACTCTAAACAAGCATCAAGAAAGTCAGATCCTGAGCAGGTGGACACTTTTGACCTTGATCTTTCTGTGCCTTCGTTAAGTCTATACAGCAGACTAAATGATAAATGAGCTATGAGCTGTCTAGGTGTAGTAGTATAATATTTCAGCAGCTTTTTCAGCAATAGTATTTTCATTTCACTACCTCTCAAAATCCTCACAGTAAAACTGGTGAGTCACCTTCGGTAAAATGTTTTATAAATAGTATCACAGTGAGGATGAAATGCAAAGTTTTGGATGGCTGTTCATTAACTGAGCATCATTTGAACCAAACAACAAAAGAAGTGGGATTCTGCTGGAAAAAAACACAGCACTAAAGATTAATATACTTCAGGCACAAACAATCTGAATTAAAATTCCACAATAAATTTTGGTATTTCTGATCCAGCAGGCTTATAACCAAAGGATCAAATTCTCATCAGCCCTCAAAGGGAAGGAGAAACATGCTCTTCGGTGGTGGGGGAGAGGGTGAGAATTGCCATGTGGAATATTTATTTTAAAGAACACCAATTCCAGATTGCTCCCAGACATGACAAGGCACAACAATTTTTAGCATTTAGTGCACTTTCCCAATACACACTATTTCTCTGGATATAGAAAGCTCAGTGATGTACCTGCATTGATGAATGGACAGAATACATTAGAGCATTACCACACAACTGAATACAATTGCAAAGAGCCAGCTGGAAAGCTGTGTAACTGTCGGGGGAGAGTCTTCCTACCCTCTGAACTGAAAATGCTCAAGCGCTTCTGGAGAAGTAGCTGTTCCCACTGTTTTTGATTCATAGGATCCTAAAACACAGCAGATATTTAACTCTTCAGCTTTTGAACCATCTTACCCTGTTGTCCTTGCAGCTTAATTTGTATCCTTTTTTATAAACTTTTCTCACATTATCTTCAAAAGCATTACAATTCGTCTTAGATTAACTTGACCAAATGCAAAGTTTAGGAAAAAGCCCAAAGGCAATTCTGCAAAATGGTATTAAGCATACTAGGTACATATATAAAGAACTCACTTGTATTTTTTGGACTTTTTTTTTGAAGGGAGGGGAAGGGAACCACCACCTAACTAACCTACCAAGTTCAGCACAAGGCAGATATTTAGAAACTTAGGGTTTTCTGAGAAAACTATCCAACCATTTAAGCCTCACGGCATGAAAAGCTGAAGAGAGACTGTGCAACACAAGAACAGTGTAGTAACAGCACTTTTGTTTTTCAAGTCACTGACCTCTTGTTCCCTCTGAAATATAACCACTCTGCCACCTTTGTCTCCTGTTGCAAGAAGATCACCAGAGTAATTAAATTCAACTGTTGAAATAATATCAGCTGTAAACAGAACAGAAATAAAATAGCACTGTAATGTGTAAAGCAAATCAAGATGTTTCAAGACTTGAACACAAAACAAAATTACAACTTGTATCAGTGCAACAATACAACTTCTTGATTTACATCAACAGTATCCAGAAATTAAGCCATGTTTCAAAGACTACCAAAACTTTACTTACAATCTAAAACACTTCACCATTTCCCAGTTTCAGCTGTTGAGGGCCTTCGATCATAAAAGAGAAGGTGTATTGTTTTAACAATCCAATCTGTGTATTCTACCTGTTGACAGTAAATGGTGAAACACGGAACGGAGATATGCCTGCACAGAGCTTCCAAAAGGAAGACTCCTACCAGAGGCGGTCCCTACTCTGCGGTGTCACCCTGGAGCAGCACTGCAGCTTGCACTGCTCCCAGGGAGGTGGGGGCATACCTGCCTCTCCCCTGCGCTGAGTGTTCACCTAGTTAGTTCAGGAACCCAAACTGGGTGGCCCTGCTCTGCCAAAGGGAAAAAAAAAAAAAAAAAAAAAAAAAAAAAATTCTTCCAGTTGAGCTTCCTGAACCAACTCTGTGCAGAAGCATCAGCATGTGTAACAACAAAGAAGAAGCAGGGATGGTGACAGCTGAAGGAACAGGAGAGCAGAGGAAAAGGTGGCAGGACCTCCAGTTTAAACCGACTTACGAGCCGTTGGGACTGAACCTTGAAAACAACTAGTATTTATTCACCACCGCACACCACAATTAATCTTTGGAGGTGGCAATAAAGAAATAATTGCCATTAAACAATCTTTAACCAAGGGGCAGAGAGATAAGGGGCTATAAATGTCTGTCACAGGTTTTAGGCATATGGCAGCAAAACCAGCAAACCACTCATCATAAAATTCTAAGTAAACATTTATCCACACTGTTGCTTGCTTGCCATGCAAATATTTCATTGTATGAAGCAGGTATAAAAATGGTAAGATGTAAAGTATAGGATATCAATTCGTTTCTGAGCTTGCAACTGGAGACTAGATGAAAACTACTTTCCTGTATTGATTCTGATGTGCTATCTTTTAAATTCCTTTCAATAATCCCCTACTCCTATATAAGGAAGGTGATTAGGAAGTTTAATCGGTTTTCTCAATATATAATTCATATTTCACCTTTATTAACAGTTGCCCTTCAAACAGTTTTTTCCCTACTGTATGAAGAGCATGATTTACCTTCTTTGATTAAAAAAATGATTAACACAGTCTTTGTACAGATTTCCTCCAGCCTTCAAATTGCATTACTAACCTGTTTCTGGACACATCTACTTTTATATTCACCTTTCTTTAAAACGTTATGAAAAGATTCCAGTTTGGTAAAGAACAGGATGATGGCTAATCCCAAACCCTCAACAGACCCAAAACACGAGAACAAAACCCACACCTGTGCTGTGCTCGCTCCATACTGAAAACACCAAACTTTCCTCGGTTGACCTACTTTTTAAAATTCACCATGTTTCTAACTCGCCTCCCTCCATCCAGGGGATCCGCACCCGCCACCGTGCCACCCCACCTCAGTGACCATCACACCATAAACTCTCAAGCCATCCACCACCGAGCTCTTCGCAAACCTCACCCTTCGGTGCTGATGCCCTTCCAAGAAACTAAGCAGCAAACTCTTTTGCCTTTTCACTACGAACTGTCAGAATGAAAATTAATCCCTCTGTTCTCTTTACACCAAATCCATTTTGTAGCCAGTTTCTGGTATGTGACCACTTGCCTCTGTAACAGACTATGTAGAAAATACTGAAAACAAAACCCTCCCCCTCAAAATCCCTCCTCTCTCTACATTTCTAAAATGAATTTACAGCAATAAGTAGCTACCTACAGAAAACAGCATATGGTATCAAGGTTTCACTAGTACTAAATGATCTCTTTATAAATTGCCTTAGAATTATGAGCTTCTAGTAGGACAACTCTGATAAAATCTTAATATACGCATACACATAAACACATTCTTAAAAAAAATACATATTTTAGTATGTATTTTTATACACACATATATGCAAATAAAAAACTTAGACTAAAGAGTGGTACAATATGTGTCCAATCCAAAAATGTAAATCCAAAAGCTACATATTTCCACTTACCATAAAGATCCACTTTGTCAAAACTATACCGGCACAATGAGCACTGCAATAACATTTCATCAAACCTCAGTGTTAAAACAAGAAGAAAAATACCTAAGTTTAAACACTGACACAAGATCTGTCAACTTGCATGCAAATGGGACCTCTGTTCCTCTCTTTACAAGGTTAAGGAAAACTCAAATCATTGATACACTTAAACCAGATTACCAGTATCAAAACCCGTCCTTCCTACTCTACAAACAAACAGGACTCAAGAGATGACGGACATACTGTTTAGATGGCTAAAAAGAGACCAGTTTCTGCCCCCCTGATCTCCCAGTGAATCCTGTTCAGAAGTTTTAGCCCAAGCAAGTCACAGGAGTGTACAGGGCACCTTGTATGTAATTTTAACCGTTTCTTAAATATATTTTCTATGACAGATAAGAAAAAATCTGTCAACCTCTAATGCCAATACACTATTTCGCTTTGCCAAAGCTTGCCACAATTCTCTGATGTAATGTCTCATACCCTGCTTCAGTCCTCAGACAAAGAATTACTACATACACAGAAGGTGGATGAGCTGGTCCACGTAAATCTTTTTATTTGGAACTTCTTTCTTTCTTAAGAAAGAAAACAAACTTAACGAAGGCTCTTTCATAACAAACTGTATAACGTATGTATATGGCAATTGTGAAGTGTTCTAAAGCCAACTTATTCTTCCTGCCTGGCAACCATGGGGAGAAGATGCATGAGAACTGAGATTCAATGGCAAAAAAAGAAATCTCTGTGTATGTGACTACTATTGCTGTTGGGCTTTAATACTGATCTATGCTAATTATTTTCACAATTAGATGTTTGCTTTGTGCCCAATACATGCCTAAATTGAGAGAATGTATAAATTATAAGCCGTTACAAACAGCTAGCTGGCTAAGAGGTTTTATAGTTAACAATTACCAAATATGACATAAGCGAAGAATTTCGTCCTAACATGAGAAAGCTAGTGAACTAGCTGCAGACGTAATCTTAAGTAAATTCTACTCCAAGACTGACAATAGTCAGCTAGAATAAAAAAATTCCTACATCTCATTATCACGCAATTATACACAGGAAAAAAACCCAGGCATTTCAAGAGACACCACAGGAAAGCAGTAAACTGAGGAAAAAACAAGTGAACCAAGGAGGTAAGCAACCAGTGAAGCGACCTGCTAGAGTAATTTTATGACATTTTCAGTACTATACTCAAACCCTAAGTAGCCCTTCAGTTACAAAAGTTTATCAGTAGCAAAACTAATATTCCATTACCACAAAAATCTGAAAACCATTCTAGCATGGACCATTTTTACCCTTTGAGACGTCAGTAAACATCCTAGCAGAAATAAATGACTCCTTAACATACGCAATTACTTCAAACAAAGTCACAAAACCTACTTTTCCATTTAGGTTCAAAAAGGGAAAACGTTATTATTAATTTCTCCCATGTACACAATCCAAGTATTTACTGAATTATTTGCTCAAAATACACTGTGCACCATAGTTGCTTTAACATGCACGTAAAGTCAACGTCATTTGTCCCACACAGCTATTAATTACTAGAATGCTATCTAGCCAAACACAATCCTGGGTTCCTTTGTGTTAAGGACGGTGGAAACATGCTAAAACATAGACACTACCCAAATTCTACGGTTTTAAATAAAAAACACAGGGAGAAGAGGGTAAACAATCACGCACAGGTAAAATGATCATGCGAGTGGAGAATGCCTCTCTTTCCTAACTGACTAACAACTGGAAATGGCAGCTTGAAATTTTAAATCAGCTCTGAAATAGCATGTCGCCGACATATCAACATCTATCGCCAACATGCTACATGGAAATAGGAAAGTGGAGGGGCCACATCAGAACAAAAATAGAAAATATTTAAAGAAAGTTTCTATAAGTTAAAAAACTTGAAATATGATGAATCAATGTATTTTTTTCCTTAACAACACTATACTATTTTAATATATGAAAGTATGAATTAAAACCAGTTTCCCCTACAGGGATGTTTAACTGAAGTCTATCAATCCCCAAAATTATTCTGTCCACTATCCTCAGCACTACACTATCTCAAAGCAGGTAAAAGAAGAAAAAAATTACAAGACTAGAGGCAAACCACAAAATTAATTCCAAACCAGTAACTCTGTGTTCTACTCAACATACTTTACCCATCTACATTTGCTCTTTATTTCCCAGCCTGCTTAAAACTTCTAGAAAAAAAACTAAGCAAGCCCATTAACTTTGGAATTTTAAAAGCTTTTTTATTATATGTCAGATCTTTTTCTTATGTGTACAAGCACCAGTGTTATTTCCCAGCAGAATATTTCAGCCTTTTCTTTATACTAGCAAAGTAACTCACAATTAAATGTACAAAAGTGTGAGGAAAGACAAACCATCATGCTATTTGCTGCTGTACAGCATCCTAATGCACTCTTCTCATATACAAAACTCCTTTGTGATTATGATTTTCCAGAAAGAGAGCCGTCTGTCCAACCTTCCCCCCATTTTTGCTCCAGTGTGGCTAGCACTCTGTTCTGGAAGTAGCCACGTAAACTCTCCTCCTGTAAACTATGGAGAACAGCAAGACTTGTGGCTTTACAATAAGACACTAGTCTGGCAATATTTCTTTCCAGAAAAATTAAATGTTTAATGACATGTTTCATGAAAAATTAAATGTTTAGCCTCATTTTTGGAAAGGAGTTCTATCTTTACAGTCTACATACATAGCAGGAAACTCCTAGCTGTTGTCAAAGCTAGTGTATTAAAGGGATTGCTGGCAAGTAAATTATGGTTCTGCAGAATCCCCAAATTTAAAAGCACTAAGCACTTCCATGGGTAGTAAACACCTTCCCAACACATTAGAAGGCTACAA